CCTCCTTGGCAGAGTAATATAGGGTAATAGGTACTGTGGGCAGCATTGAGAGTCAATCAAGAAGCAGATACACTGGCATGAGGACGGCAAAGGTGAATTCCCAGCCAAATCCTGCCCCATTGCCTGGCCATCTCATCCTGGAAATTAACTCAGCTGAATATGTGTAAGTCAGGGTTCTCCTGAGAACCAGAAGCAATAGGAGATATAGAGCCAGACTACAGATAGAGAGAGGTAGAGGTAGAGATAGAGATAGAGGATTCTGGAAAAATATTCTGAGGAATGAACAATAAATTAGATACTATCTGGGGGGGGGGGAGTACCTTTGTGGGTGCTGTGAGATCTAGCAGCATACGCTGAGGGACCCAGGACAGGTCTCACTCAACTATGAGTCTGGTAATAGGCACCAGAACTCTGTTCAGGGTGAGGAAACTGCCGAGGCCCCTCTCTCTGCAGTGGAAGAAGCACCCTGGCGAGTGCTGAGCTGTGCAGATACCCGCAGGGGAGAGTTGCAGAAGGACAGCCTTCCCTGGGAGGGACTCCAGCACACCACTGGAGGAGAAAAGTAGGACTCTAGCCGCAGCCAAAGCAGTGGTGAGAGAAACCTTCCCCAAGCTTCCCTCCTCCCACTGCACACTGCTGATCTCTCTGGGGCAGGGACCCCTCTGAGGTGGATGGCAGTGGGGACTGAGTACCCCGGCTGCCTCAGCGGTGTGGGATGATGCTGGAGAAATCAGTTTCTCTCCAGTGACACCCAGAGTTCTGCGAGGGCACCTCTATGGGAGGCGGGGGGGGGGGGGGGGGGTGGAGATTGGGAAAGAGACACATAAGGGATGTAGCTCCTGGTGACTGTACTTTGCCACAAGCAGGGAGTACCACACCCAAGGATCTTGCTATCAGGTCTGTGAGCACCCCAAAAGCACAAGTGCTAATGCCACACACACACACACACATTCTGCAGCTCAGTACACAGAGAGTGTGCATCTGAAAACAGGCCGCACTAGGCTATCAGTGGTATTCTGGCAGAAACCCGCAAGGCCAGCACACGTGAAATGAGTTATTAAAGTGTTGAAAGAAACTATTTTCCAACCAGAATACCCAGTCTGTCAATGTGAAGCCGAATAAAGACTTTCCCATAGAAACAAAAGCTGAGGGAGTTCATCACCAGACTTTCTTTGCAAGAACTACTGAAAGGAAGTTTTCAAGCTGAAATTAAAAAAAAAAAAAAAAAAGCTAATGAACGAAGGCCTGCTTCCCCCCCCTTCCCCTCCCTCCCACGTGATGGGCGGTCGAGTGACTGCTGCACGTCCTGGCTGGAGAGCACAACATGAAGCAGCCGGGAAGAGAAAATACTACAGAGTAGCTAATGGATGTGAAAGTGATGTTTTATTTTTGTGGCAAGCATCTGTGAGATCTGTAATAGAAATGACGGCTGCCTGTGACTCATGGTTCATCCAAACAGGAAATCGAATGAGTTAATACTGCGCCTTCTCTAACTTCCCTGAACTTGCCATTTGTCTGCAAACAACGTTCACCCGCTCAGTCAGCCTGGTCAGCAGCACGTGCTCCGCTATCTGTTTGTAAACAAACGGCGCCCTCTGTCGACAGGCGATGCTTGGGGATCTCCTTGACAAGCCAGCCTTACTGTCAGCGGAGCACTTGGGACCCACAGGTAGGCGGTGCTCCCCTCTTGCTGTAACTGGATTCCTTGCCCCACGAGGGCCACCAGGGACACCCCGTGAAGCTATGGGTGTGAGCCGAGTCCGGCTGGTGCAACATTTCTGGTGTCGGGATCAATTCCCCTGCATTTGTTTTCTTTTTCTATTTTTATTGAGACACTAGAGGCCCAGCGCGCGAACCCTGAGTGACTCCCTCCCGCGCGGGGCCCTGACTCCCTCCCGCCCGGGACCCAGACTCCCTCCCGCTCGGGGCCCTGACTCCCTCCCGCGCGGGGACCAGACTCCTTCCCGCGCGGGGACCAGACTCCCTCCCGCGCGGGGCCCAGACTCCCTCCCGCGCGGGGCCCTGACTCCCTCCCAAGCGGGGCCCTGACTCCCTCCCGCGCGGGGACCAGACTCCCTCCCGCGCGGGGCCCTGACTCCCTCCCGCGCGGGGACCAGACTCCCTCCCGCGCGGGGACCAGACTCCCTCCCGCGCGGGGCCCTGACTCCCTCCCGCGCGGGGACCTGACACCCTTTCGTGCGGGGACCAGACTCCCTCCCGCGCGGGGCCCTGACTCCCTCCCGCGCGGGGCCCTGACTCCCTCCCGCGCGGGGCCCTGACTCCCTCCCGCGCGGGGCCCTGACTCCCTCCCGCGCGGGGACCTGACACCCTTTCGTGCGGGGACCAGACTCCCTCCCGCGCGGGGACCAGACTCCATCCCGCGCGGGGCCCTGACACCCTTTCGTGCGGGGACCAGACTCCCTCCCGCGCGGGGACCAGACTCCCTCCCGCGCGGGGACCAGACTCCCTCCCGCTCGGGGACCAGACTCCCTCCCGCTCAGGACCAGACTCCCTCCCGCGCGGGGCCCTGACACCCTTTCGTGCGGGGACCAGACTCCCTCCCGCTCAGGGACCAGACTCCCTCCCGCGCGGGGACCAGACTCCCTCCCGCTCGGGGACCAGACTCCCTCCCGCGCGGGGCCCTGACACCCTTTCGTGCGGGGACCAGACTCCCTCCCGCTCAGGGACCAGACTCCCTCCCGCTCGGGACCAGACTCCCTCCCGCGCGGGGACCAGACTCCCTCCCGCGCGGGGCCCAGACTCCCTCCCGCTCAGGGACCAGACTCCCTCCCGCGCGGAGCCCAGACTCCCTCCCGCGCGGGGACCAGACTCCCTCCCGCGCGGGGCCCAGACTCCCTCCCGCGCGGGGCCCAGACTCCCTCCCGCGCGGGGCCCAGACTCCCTCCCGCGCGGGGCCCAGACTCCCTCCCGCGCGGGGCCCAGACTCCCTCCCGCGCGGGGCCCAGACTCCCTCCCGCGCGGGGACCAGACTCCCTCCCGCTCGGGGACCAGACTCCCTCCCGCTCGGGGCCCAGACTCCCTCCCGCGCGGGGCCCAGACTCCCTCCCAAGCGGGGACCAGACTCCCTCCCGCGCGGGGCCCTGACTCCCTCCCGCGCGGGGACCAGACTCCCTCCCAAGCGGGGACCAGACTCCCTCCCGCGCGGGGCCCTGACTCCCTCCCGCGCGGGGACCAGACTCCCTCCCAAGCGGGGACCAGACTCCCTCCCGCGCGGGGACCAGACTCCCTCCCGCGCGGGGACCAGACTCCCTCCCGCACGGGGCCCAGACTTGCTCCCAAGCGGGGCCCTGAGTGACTCCCTCCCGCGCGGGGCCCAGACTCCCTCCCGCTCAGGGACCAGACTCCCTCCCGCGCGGAGCCCAGACTCCCTCCCGCGCGGGGACCAGACTCCCTCCCGCGCGGGGCCCAGACTCCCTCCCGCGCGGGGCCCAGACTCCCTCCCGCGCGGGGCCCAGACTCCCTCCCGCGCGGGGCCCAGACTCCCTCCCGCGCGGGGCCCAGACTCCCTCCCGCGCGGGGCCCAGACTCCCTCCCGCGCGGGGACCAGACTCCCTCCCGCTCGGGGACCAGACTCCCTCCCGCTCGGGCGCCGGGGACCAGACTCCCTCCCGCGCGGGGCCCAGACTCCCTCCCACGCGGGGACCAGACTCCCTCCCACGCGGGGACCAGACTCCCTCCCGCGCGGGGACCAGACTCCCTCCCAGCGGGGACCAGACTCCCTCCCGCGCGGGGCCCAGACTTGCTCCCAAGCGGGGCCCTGAGTGACTCCCTCCCGCGCGGGGCCCTGACTCCCTCCCGCGGGGGGCCCTGACTCCCTCCCAAGCGGGGTCCTGACTCCCTCCCGCGCGGGGCCCAGACTCCCTCCCGCGCGGGGCCCTGACTCCCTCCCAAGCGGGGACCAGACTCCCTCCCGCGCGGGGACCAGACTCCCTCCCGCGCGGGGCCCTGACTCCCTCCCAAGCGGGGACCAGACTCCCTCCCGCGCGGGGCCCAGACTCCCTCCCGCGCGGGGCCCAGACTCCCTCCCGCGCGGGGCCCAGACTCCCTCCCACGCGGGGCCAGACCCTGCGTGACTCCCTCCCGCGCGGGGCCCTGACTCCCTCCCGCGCGGGGACCAGACTCCCTCCCAAGCGGGGACCAGACTCCCTCCCAAGCGGGGACCAGACTCCCTCCCGCGCGGGGACCAGACTCCCTCCCAAGCGGGGACCAGACTCCCTCCCGCGCGGGGACCAGACTCCCTCCCAAGCGGGGACCAGACTCCCTCCCGCGCGGGGCCCTGACTCCCTCCCAAGCGGGGCCCTGAGTGACTTCCTCCCGCGCGGGGACCAGACTCCCTCCCAAGCGGGGCCCTGAGTGACTTCCTCCCGCGCGGGGACCAGACTCCCTCCCAAGCGGGGCCCTGAGTGACTTCCTCCCGCGCGGGGACCAGACTCCCTCCCAAGCGGGGCCCTGAGTGACTTCCTCCCGCGCGGGGACCAGACTCCCTCCCAAGCGGGGCCCTGAGTGACTTCCTCCCGCGCGGGGCCCAGACTCCCTCCCAAGCGGGGACCAGACTCCCTCCCGCGCGGGGACCAGACTCCCTCCCAAGCGGGGACCAGACTCCCTCCCACGCGGGGACCAGACTCCCTCCCAAGCGGGGACCAGACTCCCTCCCGCGCGGGGACCAGACTCCCTCCCAAGCGGGGACCAGACTCCCTCCCGCGCGGGGCCCTGACTCCCTCCCAAGCGGGGCCCTGAGTGACTTCCTCCCGCGCGGGGACCAGACTCCCTCCCAAGCGGGGCCCTGAGGGACTTCCTCCCGCGCGGGGACCAGACTCCCTCCCGCGCGGGGACCAGACTCCCTCCCAAGCGGGGCCCTGAGGGACTTCCTCCCGCGCGCGCGACCGGACTGCCCGCACCTCCGCGGAGCCCGGGGCGGGGCCCGCGGCGGCTGGGGCTGGAGGCGGAGACAAAGTGCCCGCTTTACAGGCGGCGCAGGACTCCGGGCGCCACACGGACACGGGGCGACCGCGCGTGCTGTTAACCTCGGGTCCCGGCTGTGCCCGCTCCGGCTTTGGGTGCAGATGGAGCGGTCTGTGGGGCTCAGCGCCGTCTTCTTGCTCTTAGAGCTTCTGCTTTGGGACCCGGCTGCTCCTGGATGTGAGTGGGGAATGGAATGTGGGGCGAGGGACCGGCATTCAGACGGGAACCTGAGGATGTGATGGGCGGGAGCCCACGGTGGGGTTCGGAGCCTTCCCGCCGCCGGGAGGGGCGCAGACCCGCCGACCCTGGGCTATCAGCACTGCGGGCGCCTTTCCGTCTCCGGGGCGTCTGCTTAGCTGCCGCCTCTTCCCAGGGAACAGGGACGGGGGTGAGGGATGCGGGCGAGGAGGGCGCTGCCTGCGGGGACTTCTGATGAAGCCCCTTCCCCACCCCGAGCCGCGACGCCCCCCCCCCCCCAACCTCACTAAAGGCTCCTTCAGAGGGTCCGCAAAACACACCGTGACTCCGAGCCCGGGCAGCCGCGGCTCGTAGAAGGCTTCCTCCCAGCGCCCCAGCCCGGTGGCTCCTGGCAGCCCCGGAGCGCGCACCTCAGACCACAGGCCATCGGCCCTGGCCCCTCCGCTGCCCGCAGAGAAGGAAGATGAGCGAGTGGAGTTGGCGTCCAGCCAGCCCTTGGCCTCCACGCGGGAGAGGACGGCGCCGAGAAGCGGCCGGGAAAGCAGCCGCCGAGGAGCCCAGCGAAGCGCCCACACCTGAGACCTCGGGGCGGACCACAGGGGAGCGAACAGGGCGCTGCCCCGACCCGGGAAACCACGACTCCAGGGAGGAAGCCAGGGCAGACCCAGGACACGGGAGAGGGAGGAGGAGGAGGGCATCTCGCAGGGGTCCTCCCAGGAGGAGCGGCGACCGGCCACCCGCTTCCGCCCGCGGAGCGTCTCCTTCTGGGATGGGCAGCTCCGCTCCCTCTGCCCCGCCTCCGCGGCCTCCACCGCCTCACTACACCGCACAGCAGCCGGGTCTGCGGGTGGAGGGGGAGCAGTTTTCCTTTGGGCTCGGCTCCCAGCACCCGCCACCCCCACGTGCATTCCACCCCCCCCCCCCCCCCCGCCCGGCCTCCTGACAAAGCTGGCCTCCCACTTAGCCGCACCCCGTGCCCGCCGCATCCCCATCCCGGCGCCCTGGACGGTGGGGGCATAGCTGACGGGGCTCCTGGTTTAGGGGTCCCTTCCCCACTCGTACCTCTGGCTCCCCGTGAGGGGGCCTGGGAGGGCTCCCCTGGCCTTAAAGGGGCCTGAGCCCCATCTCACCCTGACATGCCCACTCCGCTGTCCTCCAGCAGCACCTGTGGCCATGGATAGGGCTGTTTGGCCCCAAGATGCCCCAACCAACCTGTGTCTCACCAGGGGCAGCTCACACCCTCTCCTTCTTCCATGAGGTCCTAGCCCTGCACTGGGTTGAACAGCGCCCCCCTGGGGCCCAGGAGGGAAGGCGGGAGGGGTGTGAGCCCCTGACCCCATCTGCCTCCAGTGTCCTCCCCTCACATGGGGCACTAACAAGGAGCCAGCCTTGCCCACTCCCACCCCAGCTCCTACCCACCCCCAAGGTTCTGGTTCCATCTTTCCTCTGTTCACAAACTCCCTCTGGACAGTTGTGTTGTTTTTGTTCCATGTTCCATTCTTAGGCATCTGTCATTGCTGCTGCTGCCAGCACCCAATGTTCATCCTCACTGCCTCCTGTGCTGCCCACACTCCCCTCCAAGATGGTCTTAGGGAGGGGCCAGGGGCAAAGAAGGCTGGGAACCCACTGCCCCAGCCCAGGGAAGGTGGGGCTCTGCCCTAGGATGCTGCAGCAGAGTGAGCAGGGGGCCTGTGTTGACAGCAGAGAGTGTAGGGCCACCTTCTCCCCCTGTTCAGCTGGGGAGGAGGTAGCCATGATTTGTCCCAGCCTGGGCCCCTCCCTCTGGCTTCCTACTTGCAGTTACTTGAAGAAAAATATATCCTTTTCTGGAAAAATAAAGAAAGTGGAAGCCCGAGCCCCTGACATATGGACCTGAACAGGACAAGGGCTGCCCAGCCATCAGGGGGATTCACTTCCTGTCAAGAATGGGGGAGGGGCACCTAGGGTTACTTTTATTCCAACTACAACCTTCCCCTGCATTTTCTCCTCACAGGTGCTAAATCACTGGGCTATAAATTCACAGTCACTCCTAATGGGCAACCATGGTGTGAAATTCAAGGCCAGGTCAATGGAAAAATATTTCTTCATTATACCTGTGGTAGCCAGGAGGTCAAACCCTTCAGTGTTCTGGAGATGAATGCCACACAGGCCTGGAATCAGCAGAGAGAAACTCTGCAAGATGTGGCAGACGAGCTCAAGAAGACCCTGCTTGACATGAAAGCAGAGATGACTGCACCCAGCGGTAAGTTTACAAAACCCAGGGTAGAGGTGGAACAGGGTGGTAGGGTTAGGGATCAATTGTGTTTATGTGAATATTGGAAGTTGGTCCCACCCAAGAGACTCAGGAGCCACAGAGGACAGAGCAGGACCAGGAGATAAGAGGGAGCAGTGGGCTGGACACCAGGTGGCCACAAAGGCTCTGTCAAGACCCAAGGCTGACCTCTTTCCCATGGTGGTGGGACAGGTCCTCTCTCCCTGCAGGGCAGCATGATGTGTGAGCAGGAATCCAGTGGACGCAACGGAGCATCCTGGGAGTTTGGATTGGATGGAAAGATATCTCTCCGCTTTGACTCAAAGAATGGAAACAGGGCAGAGCTAAATGATGAAGGCAGACTGTTAAATAAAACATTGATGCGTGACACACATAGGACTGAACTACTTGATAGGACCTCAGTTGGAGACTGTATGAAGTGGCTTAAAGACGTTTTGTCTTCCCAGGATGAAATTCTGAGTACAAAAGGTAATTCTGCAGAGGGAATGAAGTTGGAGGTCCCTTGAAATGACATTCACACTGTGTGTGTGTGTGTGTGTGTGTGTGTGTGTGTGTGTGTGTGTGTGTATTGTGTGTGGTTTGAAAAAGTGACCTACCTACCACACTGGAGTTTTCTGGAGGAAAAAGACCTTAAATGTGCTCTGCAATCCCTGTTTGGTTTCTCTCTTCTTCATGTCTCTTCCTTTGGTTTCTCTCTTCCTCACGTCTCTGCCTGAACATAACCTTGGACCACTCACCATGGATTTCTTGCTGACTGCAAACCTGTGGGCATTCTGTTTTCAGACCTTTGTCTTGTCCTGTTGCCCCTTCTCACCTTCACTTCTCTCTTCAACTCACCTGGCCTAATCTGGAAATCCTTTAACACACCACCTCAGAGCAGCTCCTGGGAGGATTCTCTACCACCTTCCTCATGTGCACCTCCTCTTCTGTCCCAGCAGGAGTAATTATTGTAACCCTTGCTTCCCCATTAGCTGTGTGAGCCCCAAGTAGCCAGGGCCCATCTCCTCTCTTTGCTCCAAGCCCAGGTCCTGTCACCGTAGCTGCCACACGTAGAGGGTAGACACTGTCTGCATCATAGGATTACCTGGTGCTGCAGGGGCTGAGGAGGCATCTCCTTCAAATTGGGTGCTGCACAGATGTCACTCTTGTGTTCCATTGCAGCTGCATCCACCACTGCCACAGCCACAGTCCCATCCAAGGCCACAACCAACACGCCCATCGCCTGGTGGATCTACCCTGTGATCTTCATCTGCCCAATCATACTTGGCATCTTAGGCTGAGGCCTTTACAGTAACAGGTATCGAGGGCTTAATTATGTGGAAAATGTTGGAAGGCCATGTAGACCCAATTCAAAAGGCTGACGTTCACAAAAAGTGGCAGTGAACGGCCAGTTGGGGGGTGGGGGAGGCAAACAGAAAGGACTACTTAAGGAGGCAAACCTTAAGGCTAGAAGGAGGCCTGGAATTCCTGGCTGAGCCCTGGTGTACTCACCTGACAGCCAGCCTCTCCACGTTTCAGATCCTCAGCCACTGAGGAACCCCTATGAATAGGGCAGGGCTGGGACCTTCATACTGAGAGTTCCAGGTGCTGCTAGGTAAGAGGCTGGGAGAGAAGGGAAAAGAAGAATGATTGTCTGCAACCCTCCCCAGGCTGTCAGGTGTCAGGATGGGCCTTCCTGTCCATCAGAGCTCCCACCAGGTCCTTTAGACCCTCCCATGCCCAGAGAATCAGACCTGAGTGAAGGGAGCAATTGAGCCATTACTTTAGTCCTGAGCTCAGAACGTCTTTGGCAGGGGTGGGGTGACTCTGTGATGTGCAAAGGGTGGGCAGAGCTTGGTACAGGCTGCTGGTCCCAAAGCAGGGGAGGCAGCTTCAGGGAAAGATGTGACTCTAGTGGTTCAGGGCTGGAGATGGGGAGTCACTGGGGTGCTGGAGCCACAGGAGAACTAACCCAGGATTTCCTCAGCCACTGGGACCAACACTCACCTTTTCCTGCAGGATGCTGATGCGACCATGAAGACCCTGGTGGTGTAGACCATCTCAGCGACTCTGCCTTTGCTTGGCTACCTCTGGATGACCTGCTGCTCGTTGTTAGAACCTGAGGAGTTCAAACCTCTGTCCAGAGACCAGGGTCAGATCAGGATGAGACAGTAGAGGCAGCATCTCATGTCTGTTTTTGCATTTGCTGATTATTCTCCTCAGGGCTTTTTAAACATATCATGTTACTTTCTGTGGTGCTAAGAGATATAATTCCTACATTTAAACATTAATGGCTTCAATAAGAAATCTCCACAAAGAGAACACTTTCCATCTTTTTCTGGAAGATCAATTACATCTCTGCATCGTGACTTTTTATGCAAATGATATTACCAAAAAGTGCCAAACCTCACAATTTCTTTCTGTCCACAAAAGTAATTATGTATTTTTAAAGAAAAAATTATATTGACAATTGTTTCCATTAGTAGCTTATAACAGTACAATATTAAATAAACATGCTTATATTCTAAAAAAATGAATTCCTTTGTTGTTTTGTATTATTCTTTTTTATAGAATTTTTTAGTTTATCTGAGCCAAACATGACAAATACCAACAGCAAGATCTCAAACCCTGAGAATAACAAGGTGTTTTTTCTGTCTATGAGATTTTTGTTTGGTTTTTCTTTTTTTTTGCTTAATCCCTTCTTTTTCACCCTGCACCCCAACACATCCCCTCTGACAGCTGTCAGTCTGTCCTCTGTATCCATGAGTCTGTCTGTTACTCTATTTTGTTCATCAGATTCCACATAGAAGTGAAAATATATGGTACTTGTCTTCCTCTGACTGGTTCATTTTACTTAGGATAATGCTCTCCAGTTTCATTCATGCTGTCTTAAGAGGTAAGAGTTCATTCTTCGTTCCCTCCTCCTACTCCTCACTTCTTCCTTCTTTCTTCTCTTCCCCCACCCCTCCTCCTCCTTCTTTTCCGTTATTCCTCACCAGAGGATTTTTTTCTATTGATTTTTAGAGAGTGTGGAAGGGAGGGGGGAGAGCGTCCAGTGGCTCTGGCTGAGGGTTTTACTCTGGTTTAGGGTGATTCTCCCCAGAGGGCCCCCATGCTACTTAAGTGCTGGTTGGTGCTGTGTGAATGGTTGGATGAATGAGACCAGTGTGAGAGTGAAAACCCCAAACACTCTAAAACCACCATTTGCAGAACTGGAAGCCTTAAGTGCCCAGAGGCCTCCAGGTGGCACTGTAGGCCTTTCAACACTTGCCTGCACAACAAGCTTGGAAATAAAAATCCTGAGGCAGTATTCCAAAGAGGAAGTACTTTAGTCAACAAAAGCCTTGGGCTCCACTGGGGTAGAAACCAGTAGAAACACATGTTGATGAAGACAAATAAAGAATGTCTTCTACCTGTTTCATTAAAAAGGAAGTGCTCTCAAACCAAAAATCTTGAGTCTTTTAAGAAAAGAAGAATGATCATGAAGTTGGGAAAGGAGACGGAAAGCGGTAAGTGGTCAGGAGAATGGGGTGGAGGAAGGGGGTTGAGGGTCCCGAGGAGAAGGGATTGAAATGCTGGGGCACTTCCCCCAAGGAGCAGGTGCCCGCCTGGGGGAGAGTCAGCCCGGAGGACCAGGGGCAGGGAAGACACTCAGGGATTCATTCCCCCCTTGGAATCTATGGATGTGGCTCCAGGTCGCGAAGGCGCGGACTGTGGGCAGCAAATTCAGTCTTGTCCTCCTGGCCCAGCTTCTACTACAGGACCCTCCCTGGGTGGAGCTCAGCAGTGAAGCCAGAATGGAACCTAGGGGGGCGGAGGGGGGAGGCGGGCACTAGGACGGGGTCCAGGACAGGGCGCCCACGGGGGTTCAGAACCTTCCCGAGGGTTGGTGCCACCACACCCTGTTCAACTCCCCTCACCGTGTGCCAGGCAAGGCAAGGCCAGGGACAGGAAACAGGGGACTTGGGCTAAAGAGTGATGCTGGGCGAATGGGCGGGGTCACGGGGGTAGGGGAGGGAGCAGGAAATTCTGCTAATGCCCAGCCCTCACCCACAGTTCCCAGCCCTCCCTGGGAAGAGGGCCCCCAGCCCGGGTCATCCTGTGGACGAGGAACGTTCACAGGGTTCACGGTCCACAGACTGGATACCCCAGCTCCACTCCACTTTCCCAGCAAACCCTCTAACACCCCCACTGCTCTCCACCTGGGCCTTCCCACCAGCTTTGCCAGAGGGTCACCCAGGCAGCGCAGGCGCTCACTTCCCCAGCCTCACCGCAGCCACAGCCACAGCCCCTCCGGAGTCACTGCTCCTCCGCAGCCCAGCCACTGCGTCACTGTCCATTTCACCAAGACCTTCCGTGTATAAGCGGTTCTATTTGGCCTGTGGGTTCAGGCTGGAGTGAATGAGAGGATGTGGGGCCCACAGGTAGGCGGTGCTCCCCTCTTGCTGTAACTGGATTCCTTGCCCCACGAAGGCCACCAGGGACACCCCGTGAAGCTATGGGTGTGAGCGCAGTCCTGCTGGCGCAACATTTCTGGTGTCGGGATCAATTCCCCTGCATTTGTTTTCTTTCTTTTTCTATTTTTATTGAGATATAATTGACATATAACATTGTATTCGTTTCAAATGTACAACCTAATGATTTGGTATTTGTATTTATTGTGAAAAGATCACCACAGTCAGTCTAGTTGACATCTATCACCACACAGAGTTACAATGTTCTTGCTGTGAGAAGTGTTAGGTGTGCCTCCTAATAACTCTCAGTTTACAATATAGTATTATAACCACAGTCCCCAATATAGTATTATCAACCGCAGCCCCACGACTTGTTTAGTTTATACCTGGAAGTTTGTACCTTTTAAGATAGGGGGAGAGGCAGTGGGGTGAAGAAGACCTGAGGTGGTGTAAGGCCCAACGGGGTGGGGGTGGGAGTGGGGTGTGTGTGAAATATTACAAGAATTGCATTCCCTAACCGGTTTGGCTCAGTGGATAGAGCATGGGCCTCTGGACTGAAGGGTCCCGGATTCAATTCCAGTCAAGGGCATGTACCTTGATTGCAGGCACATCCCCAGTGGGGGGTATGCAGGAGGCAACTGATCTGTTTCTAACTCTCTATCCCTCTCCCTTCCTCTCTGTAAAAAAATATCTACACTAATAAAAGAGAAACATGGTAATTGGCGTACGACCACTACCCTTTTCATTGGCTAACCAGCTAATATGCAAATTAACTGTCAGCCAAGATGGCAGCCAGCAGCCAGGCAGCTTGAAACTAACATGAGGCTTGCTTGCCTCAGTGATGGAGGAAACCAACGTTCCCCACCTGCGGCTGCAGGCCTCTGAGCTGGCAGTTTCAAACATTGTAACAAATACCACCGAACTTCAGCCAGCAGATTCGCAACATTGTATGCAAAGGCCAGAAACCTACTTTCAGCAGCGGAGGCCTAAGAGCTGGAGCCAAGCCTCAAGCTAAAGCTGGCCCAGAATAAAAAAAAAAAGGAAAAAAGGAGCGTTTGGGAGTTCAGTCACCCCCAGCCTGAAAACAGCCCTCAGCCCCTCACCCAGACTGGCCAGGCACCCCAGTAGGGACCCCCACCCTGAAGGGTGTGTGACCAGCTGCAAACAGCCATCATCCCCTCACCCAGGCTGGCCAGGCACCCCAGTGGGGACCCCCACCCTGATCCAGGACACCCTTCAGGGCAAACGAGCTGGCACCCACCCATGCACCAGGCCTCTACCCTATATAGTAAAAGGGTAATATGCCTCCCAGCACCGAGATCAGCATGACAGGGGGCAGCGCCCAAACATCCTGATCGGCCCTGCTCTGTGTGTGACAGGGTGCGGCACCCCAACCCACACCCCCCCCCCCCGGGGCCCTGCTCTGTGTGTGACGGGGTAGAGCCATAACCTCCCCATCAGCCCTGCCCTGAGTGTGACAGTGGCGGCGCCCCAACCCCCTGATCGGCCCTGCTCTGTGGGTGATAGAGGGTGGCGCCCCACCCCCCCCACCCCCCCCGCCCCCCCACGGGCCCTGCTCTGTGTGATGGGGTAGAGCCATAACCTCCCCATCAGCCCTGCCCTGAGTGTGACAGTGGTGGCGCCCCAATCCCCTGATTGGCCCTGCTCTGTGGGTGATAGAGGGCGGCGCCCCAACCCACTGATCCGCCCTGCTCTGTGTGTGACAGGGGACGGTGCCCCAACTCCCCTATCGGACCTACTCTGTGAGTGACAGGGGGGAGCTCCTCAACCCCCTGATGGGCCCTGCTCTGCTCTGTGCATGACGGTACGGAGCCCCAACACCCCTGATGGGCCCTGCTCTGTGTGTGACAGGGGCAGCGCCCCAACCCCCGGATTGGCCCTGCTCTGTGCGTGACAGGGGGTCACGCCGCAACCTCCCCATCGACCCTGCCTTGAGTGTGACAGGGGGTGCTGCCCTACCCCCCAATCGGCCCTGCTCTGAGCCTGACCAGGGGCTGCACCTAGGGATTGGGCCTGCCCTCTGCTACCCAGGAGCAGGCCTAAGCCAGCAGGTCGTTATCTCCTGAGGGGTCCCAGACTGTGAGAGGGCACAGGCCCGGCTGAGGGACCTTCCCCCCTCCCCCCGAGTGCACAAAATTTTGTGCACCGGGACTCTAGTATTAAATAAAAAAAATAAAAATAAAAAAAAAAGAATTACAGCCCCAGGAATGGAGAGGGACTTAACAGAGGGATGGCAGCAAAGCTGTGACACTATTGAGGTGTTTTCACTGAATAAAATTCCCTTCCTGTCTATACCCCCTCACCCTGCACTCCCACCCGCAAAACGGGGGTAAAAAACAGGCCAAATCTGCGGGCAGGGGCGGCGGGTCCGGTAGTGAGGCCGGGAGCCAGGGGTGGGCCAGGCTCGGCGGTCAGAGCGTAGGACCGGATGAGGCCCAGGGAACAGGACCAGGCTTGCAGGCCGGTGGGCAGACCCCCCCCCGGGGCGGGGCGCAAGTCAGGACAGCCAATGGGAAGCCTGTGCGCGGCGCGGCGGCCCACCCCCGGGGCGGGCGCAGGGCAGTATGAATGAGCAGGAGAGCGAACTACACACGGGTCTGCGCAGACCTGCAGCACAGGCGGTTCAGGGGGCTACCGCGCGCGGTATTAATAACCCTCGGGTCCTGGCCGTGCCGGCTCCCGCTTTGGGTGCAGATGGAGCGGTCTGTGGGGCTCAGCGCCATCCTCTTGCTCTTGCTTCCACTTTGGGACCCGGCTACTGCACACTGTAAGTTGGGGAACGGAATGTGGGACGAGGGACCGGCATTCAGACGGGGTGATGGGCGGGAGCCCACGGTGGGGTTCGGAGCCTTCCCGCCGGGAGGGGCGCAGACCCTCCGACCCTCGGCCATCAGTTCTGAGGGCGCCTTTCCGTCTCCGGGATGGCTGCTTAGCTGCCGCCTCTTTCCAGGGAACAGGGACGGGAGTGAGGGATGGGGGCGAGGAGGGCGCTGCGGGGATTGAAATGAAAGGGGCGCTGGGAGGGGCGGTGCGCTGAGAGGGTCGGTGCGCTGGGAGCTGGGACAGGAGGTTCGCTGTGTGGGGCGGTGCGCTGTGAGGGGCGGGCGCTGGGAGCTGTGAGGGGCGGGGCACTGTGAGGGGCGGGGCGCTGTGAGGGGCGGGGCGCTGTGAGGGGCAGGGCGCTGTGAGGGGCGGGGCGCTGTGAGGGGCGGGGCGCTGGGAGCTGGGAGGGGCGGGGCGCTGTGAGGGGCGGGGCGCTCCTGTGATGGGCGGGAGCCCACGGTGGGGTTCAGAGTCTTCCCGCCGGGAGGGGCGCAGACCCGCCGACCCTTGGCCATCAGCTCTGAGGGCGCCTTTCGGTCTCCGGGAAGCTTGCGGGGGCGTGGCTGTGGGGGCGTGGCAGCGTGCGGGGGCGGGGCAGCGCTGGGGGCGGGGCAGCGTGCGTGGGGGCGCAGAGCTGTGCAGCCCGCGACCCCAGCGCCCGAGCCCTTTTGCTCCTGGCAGCCCCGGAGCGCGCACCAGAGGCCGGCGGCCCTGGCCCCTCCGCTGCCCGCAGAGAAGGAAGATGAGCGAGTGGAGTTGGCGTCCAGCCAGCCCTTGGCCTCCACGCGGGAGAGGACGGCGCTGAGAAGCGGGCGGGAAAGCAGCGGCCCGAGGAGCCCAGCGAAGGGCCCACACCTGAGACCTCGGGGCGGACCACAGGGGAGCAAACAGGGCGCTGCCCAGACCTGGAAAACCACGGCTCCAGGGAGGAAACCAAGGCAGACCCAGGACCCGGGGGAGGGAGGAAGAGGAGGGCATCTCGCAGGGGTCCTCCGAGGAGGAGCGGCGACCGGCCACCTGCTTTCGCACCGCGGAGCATCTCCTTCTGGGATGGGCAGCTCCGCTCCCTCTGCCCCCGCCTCCTGGGCCTCCGGGGCCTCCCCGGCCTCCCCGGCCGGCCGCCGGCGCCGCCTCCACCGCCTCACTACAGGGCACACCAGCCGTGCGCTGGGGGCCCAGGTGGAGCCGTTTTCCTTTGGGCTCGGTTCCCAGCACACCCCACCCCCACGTGCATCCCCCAGGCCTTCTGACTAAGCTGACGTCCCACTTAGCGGCACCCCGTGCCCGCTGCGTCCCTGCGCCCTGGGTGGTGGGGGCATTGCTGACTGGGCTCCTGGTTTAGGGGTCCCTTCCCCACTCGTACCTCTGGCTCCCCATGAGGGGGCCTGGGAGGGCTCCCCTGGCCTTAAAGGGGCCTGAGCCCCATCTCACCCTGACATGCCCACTCCGCTGTCCTCCAACAGCACCCGTGGCCATGGATAGGGCTGTTTGGCCCCAAGATGCCCCAACCAACCTGTGTCTCACCAGCTGTGGCTCACACTCTCTCTTCCACGAGGTCCTAGCCCTGCACTGGGTTGAACAGCGCCCCCCTGGGGCACAGGAGGGAAGGCAGAAGGGGTGTGAGCCCCTGACCCCATCTGCTTCCACTCTAGGCCTCCAGTGTCCTCCCCTCACATGGGGCACTAACAACGTGCCAGCCTTGCCCACTCCCACCCCCTGCTCCTCCCCACCCCCCAAGGTTCTGGTTCCATCTTTCCTCTGTTCACAAACTCCCTCTGGACAGTTGTGTTGTTTTTTGTTCCATGTTTCATTCTTAGACATCTGTCATTGCTGCTGCTGCCAGCGCCCAATGTTCATCCTCACTGCCTCCTGTGCTGCCCACACTCCCCTCCAAGATGGTCTTAGGGAGGGGCCAGGGGCAAAGAAGGCTGGGAACCCACTGCCCCAGCCCAGGGAAGGTGGGGCTCTGCCCCTAGGATGCTGCAGCAGAGTGATCAGGGGCAACAGAGAGTGTAGGGCCACCTTCTCCCCCTGTTTCGCTGGGGAGGAGATAGCCATGATTTGTCCCAGCCTGGGCCCCTCCCTCTGGCTTCCTACTTGCAGTTACTTGAATAAAAATATATCCTTTTCTGGAAAAATAAAGAAAGTGGGAGCCCAAGATCCTGACATCTGGACCTGAACAGGACAAGGGCTGCCCAGCCATCAGGGGGATTCACTTGCTGTCAAGAATGGGGGAGAGGCACTTAGGGTTACTTTCAATCAAACTCTAAACTTCCGCTGCATTTTCTCCACACAGGTGCTAAATCTCTGACCTATAACTTCATAGTCACTCCTAATGGGCAACCATGGTGTGAAATTCAAGGCCAGGTCAATGGAAAAACATTTCTTCATTATACCTGTGGTAGCCAGGAGGTCAAACCCTTCCGGAGATGAATGCCACACAGACCTGGAATCAGCAGAGAGAAACTCTGCAAGATGTGGTGGACGAGCTCAAGAAGACCCTGCCTGACATGAAAGCAGAGATTACTGCACCCAGCGGTAAGTTTACAAAACCCCCGGTAGAGGCAGAACAGAGTTGTAGGGTTAGGGAACAATTGTGTTTATGTAAATATGGGAAGTTCATCCCACCCAAGAGACTCAGGAGCCACAGAGGACAGAGCAGGACCAGGAGATAAGAGGGAGCAGTGGGCTGGACACCAGGTGGCCACAAAGGCTCTGTCAAGACCCAAGGCTGATCTCTTTCCCATGATGGTGGGACAGGTCCTCTCTCCCTGCAGGGCAGCATGATGTGTAAGGAGGAATCCAATGGGCACACCAGCGCATCCTGGGAGTTTGGATTGCGTGGAAAGAAATCTCTCCGCTTTGACTCAAAGAACAGAAACTGGACAGTTTTGCACAATGAAGGCACACTGTTAAAGAAAACATTGGCACGTGACAGAGCTATGACTTATCTCCTTATTAGGACCTCAGTTGGAGACTGTAGGAAGTGGCTTAAAGAAGTTTTGTGTCCCCAGGATGAAATTCTGAGCACAAAAGGTAATTCTCCAGAGGGAATGAAGTTGTAGGTCCCTTAAAATGACATTCACACTCTGTGTGTGCGTTTGTATTGTGTGTGGTTTGAAAAAGTGATCCACCTACCACACTGGAGTTTTCTGGAGGAAAAAGGCCTTAAATGTGCTCTGCAATCCCTGTTTGGTTTCTCTCTTCTTCATGTCTCTTCCTTTGGTTTCTCACTTCCTCACGTCTCTGCCTGAACATAACCTTGGACCACTCACCATGGATTTCTTGCTGACTGCAAACCTGTGGGCATTATTCTGTTTTCAGACCTTTTCCTTGTCCTGTTGCCTCTTCTCACCTTCACTTCTCTCTTCAACTCACCTGGCCTGTTCTGGAAATCCTTTAACACCACCTCAGAGCAGCTCCTGGGAGGATTCTCTACCACCTTCCTCATGTGTCACCTCCTCTTCTATCCCAGCAGGAGTAATTATTGTAACCCTTGCTTCCCCATTAGCTGTGTGAGCCCCAAGTGGCCAGGGCCCATCTCCTCTCTTTGCTCCAAGCCCAGGTCCTGTCACCGTAGCTGCCACACGTAGAGGGTAGAAACTGTCTGCATCATAGGATTACCTGGGACAGCGTGGGCTGAGGAGGCATCTTATCAGAATGGGGTGCTGCACAGATGTCACTCTTGTGTTTCATTGCAGATGCATCAACCACTGCCACAGCGACAGTCCCATCCAAGGCCAGAACCAAGACGCCCATCGCCTGGTGGATCTACCCTGTGATCTTCATCTGCCCAATCATACTTGGCATCTTAGGCTGAGGCCTTTACAGTAACAGGTATCGAGGGCTTAATTATGTGGAAAATGTTGGAAGGCCATGTAGACCCAATTCAAAAGGCTGAAGTTCACAGAAAGTGGCTTAGAACGGCCAGTTAGGGGGTGGGGGAGGCAAACAGAAAGGACTACTTAAGGAGGCAACCCTTACGGTTAGAAGGAGGCCTGGGATTCCAGGCTGAGCCCTGGTGTAATCACCTGACAGCCAGCCTCCTCCACGTTTCAGATCCTCAGCCATTGAGGGGCCCCTATGAATAGGGCAGGGCTGGGACCTTCATACTGAGAGCCCAATGTACTGCTAGGTAAGAGGCTGGGAGAGAAGGGAAAAGAAGAATGATTGTCTGCAACCCTCCCCAGGCTGTCAGGTGTCAGGATGGGCCTTCCTGTCCATCAGAGCTCCCACCAGGTCCTTTAGACCCTCCCACCCCCAGGAGAATCAGACCTGAGTGAAGGGAGCAGATTGAGCCATTACTTTAGTCCTGAGCTCAGAACGTCTGTAGCGGGGCTGGGGTGACTCTGTGATGTGCAAAGGGTGGGCAGAGCTTGGTACAGGCTGCTGGTCCCAGGACAGGGGTGGCAGGTTCAGGGAAGATGTGACTCTAGTGGGGTCAGGGCTGGAGATGGGGAGTGATGGGGTGCTGAAGCCCCAGGAGAACTGACCCAGGATTTCCTCAGCCACTGGGACCAACACTCGCCCTTTTCTGCAGGCTGCTGATGCGACCAAGGAGGCCCTGGTGCTGTGGACCATCTCAGCGACTCTGCCTTTGCTTGGCTGCCTCTGGATGACCTGCTGCTCGTTGTTAGAACACGAGGAGTTCAAACTTTCTGTCCAGAGACCAGGGTCAGATCAGGATGAGACAGTAGAGGCAGCATCTCATGTCTGTTATTGCATTTGCTGAGTATCCTCCTCAGGGCTTTTTAAACATATCATGTCACTTTCTGTGGTGCTAAGAGATGTAATTCCTACATTTAAACATTAATGGCTTCAATAAGAAATCTCAAGAAAGATAAAATTGTCCATCTTTTTGTGGATGATCAGTTACATCTCTGCATCATGACTTTTTATGCAAATGATATTGCCAAAAAGTGCCAAACCTCACAATTTCTTTCTTTCTTTTTTTTTTTTAAATAAATTTATTGATTTTTTACAGAGAGGAAGGGAGAGAGATAGAGAGTTAGAAACATCGATGAGAGAGAAACATGGATCAGCTGCTTCCTGCACATGTCCTACTGGGGATGTGCCCGCAACCCAGGTACATGCCCTTGACTGGAATCGAACCTGGGACCTCTCAGTCCACAGACCGACGCTCTATCCACTGAGCCAAACCGGTTTCGGCGAAACCTCACAATTTCTTTCTGTCCACAAAAGTAATTATGTATGTTTAAAGAACAAAATTATATTTACAATTGTTTCCATTAGTAGCTTATAACAGTGCAATATTTAAATAAACATGCTTATATTCTAAAAAACTGAATTCCTTTGTAGTTTTGTGTTATTCTTTTTTTAGAGAATTTTTTAGTTTATCTGAGCCAAACATGACAAATACCAACAGCAAGATCTCAAACCCTGAGAATAACAAGGTGCTTTTTTTCTGTCTATGAGATTTTTGTTTGTGTTTATCTTTTGCTTAATCCCTTCTTTTTCACCCTGCACCCCAATACATCCCCTCTGACAGCTGTCAGTCTGTCCTCTGTATCCATGAGTCTGTCTTTACTTTGCTAGTTTATTTTGTTCATTAGATTCCACATATAAGTGAAAATATATGGTATTTGTCTTCCTCTGACTGGTTTATTTTACTTAGGATAATGCTCTCCAGGTCCACTCATGCTGTCTCAAGAGATAAGGTTTCTTCCTCCTCCTCCTCCTCCTCTCTTCTCTTCCTTCTTCCTTCTTTCTTCTCCACCACTTTCGCCCCCTCCTTCTTTCGGTTATTCCTCACCAGAGGATTTTTTTCTATTGATTTTAGAGAGTGTGGAAGGGAGCGGGGAGAGTGTCCAGTGGCTCCAGCTGAGGGGAGGCCTTAGCTTGGTGTATGGACTAGGAAGTCCTGAGTCCTACCCTGCCCCCATCCATGAGCCTTCTCCCCATTAAATAAGCAACATAGACTAAGGCCTCCTGCTCCGCACAGTCACCTAGTGAAGACAATGAGCTGCACAGTCACCTAGTGAAGACAATGAGCTCCATGTGACAGTAAGTTCAATTGTCCTAAGGCTGAAGGTCGGTGGAGGAAGCCTATGCCAGGCCTCTCTCCTCTTAAACTGAGGGACATAGAATAGCAGCAAACTCTGTGAATTAACAGATATAAAAGATATAGAAGGTTTTGGACTGACTCACTAGTGCCATTATGCAAAAGGGGCCTGTGCTGTGTGCTTTGGAAGACAAGAGACATGTCGGTTTGGGCAGGACACAGGCTTGGTTGGGGTTAGATCTTGGTGGATCCAGGTGATCTGTGTATAACAAGAGACTCCATGCTTAGGGCTGGGGGACAGAAGCCTGTATTTAATCCCTGAGAGGAGGCAACCAGGAAGGGCCTGGGAGGCTCATCCCACAAGGCTGGGTGAAGGAGGGAAGTGACTGGGAGAACAGGCTGGCATGAAAGACCTGGCAAGAAGGCCAGGTGGGAGAAGGACGGACCTCTCTGGACACCTGCACATCCTGGTTCACCCCAATGCTTGTTCCTGGCCCCCAGATTCACACCAGACCCCAGGAGCTGGTGGGATTGGCTCCTGACGCTGTATTACTGGATGGGGACTATATCCCACACATCCACACACAGGAATCAGGTATCTGGATGAATTTCTGGCTTATGTGCCTATGCTAGTTCCTTCATCTTTCCATGCTCCCATTTCACATTTGTGGTATAGGAAACACTACCTGAGGGACTGAGAAGATTAAGTGAGGAGACCATGCAAGTAGCCTGGTGCTGCCCTCCCAGAGGTTGAGGGCCAGGGCCTCTATGGATGAGAGAGATGGGCCATGCACTGCAGGCCATGGCACTTCCTCTGTCGCTTGAGCTGCCTTTGAATGTGTGGATATGAACCATACACAGGACCCACTGAACAAGGATCGGGAGAGCTTCTCAGACTGAGGAGGCCATGGGTTTACTCTGGTTTAGGGTGATTCTCCCCAGAGGGCCCCCATGCTACTTAAGTGCTGGTTGGTGCTGTGTGAATGGCTGAATGAATGAGACCAGTGTGAGGAGAAAAGGCCAAAGATGCTAAAACCATTTGCAGAACTGAAAGCCTTAAGTACCCTGACCCCTATCAGAGGCCTTCTGGTGGCACTGTAGGCCTTTCCATTCTTGTCTGCAGAGCAAGCTTGGAAATATAAATCCTGAATCAGTATCTCAATCGTATTCCAGCCCTTTCTCCGTCATCAAGGTGCGTGCATTAGCTTCTCCTCTGCCATGTCTTCCCACAGTTTCAGGTTCAAGAGGTTCCTGGCCAAGAAGCAAAAGCAGAACCGGCCCATTCCACAATGGATTCGCATGAAAACTGGTTATAAAATCAGGTACAACTCAAAGAGGAGACATTGGAGAAGAACCAAACTGGGTCTATGAGGAATCACACATGAGAGATGACTCACATATTTATGCTGTATCCAGGTTGCCTACATTGTTAAATGATTGAAAAGATCGCTACTGTCTGAACAGTTGAAGCACTTTAATTGAAAAATTAATGGACTCATGATTCTGCTCTGTTCATTTTTTTTTCTGCAGTAGTAGGATGGTTCAGTGGTAAATGTGTGAGACCTTTTAAGAAAATAATAATAAAAATAAAACGTATTCCAAAGAGGGATTATTTTTGTTAACAAAACGCCTTGGGCCCTAGCTAGTTTGGCTCAGTGGATAGAGCATCAGCCTGCAGAGCGAAGGGTCCCAGGTTCGATTCTGATCAAGGGCACATGCCAGGGTTGTAGGCTGAATCCTCAGCAGTGGGCGTGCCGGAGGCAGCCAATCAATGATTCCCTCTCATCATTAATGTTTTTTATCTCTCTCTCCCTCTCCCTTCCTCTCTGAAAGCAATAAAAATATATTATTTTAAAAAGGCCTTAGGCTCTACTGGGTTAGAAATGGCTAGGAAAACATCACTGATGACAGGACAGCTAAGAATGTTTCTGCCCCTTTCATAAAGACAGAAGTGCTCCTAGGAATGAAATTCTCGAGTCTTTTGGGAAAAGAAGGAATGATGTGAAATCAGGAAAGAAACAGAAAGGAATAGGTAGATGGCCAGGAGAATGGGGTGGAGGAAGGGTGCTGGAGGGCTGAGGGAATTCTTAGAACATTGGAGAAAGTGCTGGAGCCCACGGGTAACTGATTAGGGTGTGAGGATGTGGTAGCTCATTAAAGGTCTAATGCCTTCCCCGTGTGGGTGTATGTGTGTAATTAAAGATTGGATGGATGGATTGATGGGTTAATTTCTTAGTGGACTTCCTGTCTTGAGAGTCAATGGCTGCATCAGATATCCCACCATCCTCATTTCCCATCCCATCTCCCTCCGGGCAGGAGTCCTCACCCAAGCTAAGCAATGATTCAGTCTTCTTGGACTCTTAGATGGTTTCCAAATGTCTATGCATCTGAAAGCATTCCCGGCCTTCTTATCTTCCTGTGTTTTAGTTAACCTTTTACCAGTTCAAAGGTCACTTTTTAGGAAGCCTTCACCTCTTTCCTCAGACTGAATTAAGCACCCCCAATTCTGTCATCCTTAGAAAGGTCTACCTGGTAAACATGTCTAACTGAATGATAACCAGACATTTGCTGTCTCAGTACAATATGAGCTCCATAAGGACACAGCACAACCCCTGCTAATCTTTACACCCCTGAACCTGATAGTGACTGTCACATAATGAGTCAGTAAATATGGGGGCGACATGTGCTGCCTGGGGAAAGTAGGTGCTGAGGGAGGTGTCTTTTTTATTTGACAGGGCTTTTGTTTTTTTCTTAGTTTTAGTACCACCATTACAGTCCTCAACCATCCTGTCATACACAGAGATCATCATATTGATCATTTCAGTCTTCTTCTGCATCAGCATTGGCATCCCGGTCCTTTGGAAATTAGGCATCGTGGGAGGTGAGAAGCAGGCTGGCCTCTGGCTCTTGGGCAGGACATAGTCTGTTAAGGACTTTGGAGAGGTGAGCCATGGTCTCCCGAAGCCCCTGGCCCCTGGCCCCTGGCCCATCTCTACAGAGAAATAATGCACTTTCTTAGTGCTGAGCCCCCCAGTAGCCATTGGAAATCATGTATATGAAAGTGTAAGGGGTCGCCGAAACCGATTTGGCTCAGTGGATAGAGCGTCGGCCTGCAGACTGAAAGGTCCCAGGTTAGATTCCGGTCAAGGGCATGTACCTGGGCTGCGAGCACATCCCCAGTGGGAGATGTGCAGGAGGCAGCTGATCGATGTTTCTCTCTCATTGATGTTTCTAACTCTCTATCTCTCTCCCTTCCTCTCTGTAAAAAATCAATAAAATATATTTAAAAAAAAAAGTGTAAGGGGTCAATGGGGCTAATAGGGGGACATATGTAATACTTTCAACAATAAAGATTTAATAAAAATAAATAAATGCTTTTCCTATGAAATTGGCAAATTTTAAATCATACATAATTGTTAGTTAGCCTTATATCATATTATGGTCATTTTTAATATTCATAGTTATTATAACTAGTATTTTAAAAGTTTGATGATACCTTCAGGGGTCATTCTTTTCACAAGTGAAAGTTCCTCCTCATAACCAGCCTCCTTAAGTCTCTGAGGCCCAAGGCAAAGAGAAATCCTTATGGTGCTTCAAGGGCATCCCACAGTGACTACTGTTGTTGGGGTAAATACCTCAGAGGTGAAGGAACCTGCAGGCCGTGGTGGTAGCCTTTAGGGCTAAGAGGCCACTTTCTTCAGCCTCAAAGTCACTCAGATACAAACCCTTAAAAATCTTTTAAATTTCTCCTTTTCATTCAATGACAAGAAATATCGGGCTAATTTTTTTTCCTTTCTTCAATTTTGACCTTCTAGTTCTTCCTCCTACTCTATTCTGGATCTGAAATCTATAGGTTCCTAAATGTCAACTCTGAAAATAAAACATAAGGGTAGAGACTGCTATTTTTCTATGCAGTTATTTATTTTTGCCCTTCTAAAAATACCTTTGACAGTGTACAATTCAGAACATTCAAGCGTGCAATCAAAAACTTTCCAGACATACTAAAAAGCAAGAAAATGTGATCCACAATCAAGAAAAAATATGAATCCGTAAGAACTGACTCAGAAATAAACAAGACTCAGAAGCTGCTCATAAGCAGCTAGGACTCTCCAGTGTAGTCTCCTCTGGGTGGCATTTTCATATGCCTTATTATGTCAGTAAAACACATCTCCTCTTGATCTTATATAATCTAACTAGAGGCCCGGTGCATAGATTTGTGCACTGGTGGGGTCCCTCAGCCTGACCTACGGATATCCTCCTGGATTGTGAGAGGGCGCAGGCCAGGCCGAGGGACCCCACTGGTGCATGATGGGCTGGGGAGGGACTGCTGGAGGGCTCCAGGACATGTATGGCTGTCTCACCCAGTCCTGATTGGCTGAACCCCAGCTGCAAGCCAACCTACCAGTTGGAGCATCTGCCCCCTGGTGATCAGTGCATGTCATAGCTACCAGTGGAACAGTTGCTTAGGCTTTTATATATATAGATTGAAGGCTACTCCACAAACTGTAGAGATAATTCAACAGGTCCCCATATTGGGCTGCGTTCATATTTCTAGTTTTGTTTGTGGAAACCTGAGTAAATGTGACTACTGATTTTTATATTTTTCAACAGCACTGTGTTACCCAAGTACAACATCTCAGGAACCTAATGTGGAAAAAATCAGGGATGCTGGAGGTGAAGGACTGAGGATGGTGCCTGTTGGTTCCCCAGTTGAGCTAGTCCATTCGTCTGGAGCAGTCCTGGAAGTCACAAGAATTTGTGGAGAGCCCTTTCTCCCCAAGAGCTCATGCCCCTTTGAATAGATGCCCTGAGCAGGTCTGGCTGGTTGAAAAAAAAAAAGTTGGCTTTATTGACTGTGCCAGGCAGTGGCTAATTGGAGGCTTCAGCATAATATTGTGAAGACACTAAGAGTTCCAGCGTTCTCTGTTATCCTTTCGTTTCTGGATTGATACAAACTTTATTTTCCCTCAAACCTTGTTTTCTCCTTTTGGATCCTAGAATGCTGATGCTGCAGATGAACAGGCGAGACCCCCGCATGCCACCCGTGAAGTGCAGTGAGAGTCAGCATGCATCTGGTTAGTGGAACTGCCAAGAGAAATATATGCAAACCCGGTGCTGACCGACCACAGTGTTACATGTCATAATGTTAAACATGTCTGTAGTAGGTTTATTCCCAGACGAGAGCAGTGGAATATCTGTTGTGTTGAGTTGAGGGGTATTAGGGAGTGAAATTGAGAAGCCCTGGGAGGTTGATAGTAGTCATTCCCCTTATTACTTTATAAAGACTGAAATATAGAAATGTAATAGAATAAGTTGTATTTTTTAAAAAAGAAAGTTTGGCTTTGATATAAACCCTGCCCTGACTCAAGTGTGGCTGGCCAAGAACCACTGTTTAGAACAAGAGCAGACAGAGTGGGCTTTTGGGGCACTTCTGACCATCAATGTGGAGTCACTGTTCGCCAGGGCCGTCACGTCAAGTACTGTGTCAAGATCGAGGGAATGGCATGTAACGCACCACACAAAACCACAAGCCTGGACCCTCGCATAAGGACTCCACCTGGACACCGATAGGAGTGGGGCCTCCGCTCCCGGTGGGCAGTAAGGACTCGGGCTCCGACCTCCCAGTGCTTGGAGCCCTGCCCGCCTTCCCCCTAGACGGGTGCGGCCACCTGCGGTGCGACCCCCCCCCGCCCGCTTCTCTCTCCACCTGCGGACCGTCCAGTGGCTGGGAGTCTGCGCCTGATGATCGATTCTACGGAAGGCTCCCTCCCCCCCTCTGTGTGTGACCTGCGTGTGATTCTATTGGCTTCCCGGGAAGGTCCCCCCTGATAAACCGGGCATCTTGGAAAGACGCAAACGCGCGTGAGTGACTCTGCGGGGCGGCCCCTAGCTCAGGACAAGCACACTCAGCGAGGCGAGGCGCGCCACAAGTCACCCGCTCCCCTCCTCCCCGCGCGCCCGCCCGCAGCGTCCCTTTCCCGGCTGGGGTGGGCGGGGAGGATCCGCGCGCGGATCAGCAGGCGGGGCCAGGGCGGAGCTGCGGGCGGAGGGCGGAGCCGCCGCTGTCGCTGTTCCTGGTGCTGATCGCGGGGAGGCACGTTGTGGCCGAGCGCACCCGGGGTCCGGACCGAGGGGCGCGGGACGCGAGGAAGCCCTGGAAAGGACTAGCTGCGGAGCCAGGCCGGGCCGGCGATGCCTCCCGCTGCTGCGATTTCTTCCGGCGACCGATCGCCCCCGGCCTTAGGGGCGCATCCGGGCCCCGAGGAGGCCGAGCTTTGAGGCTCGGAGGCCTCCTTCCGCCGCGGCCGCGCAGGAGGGCACAGGGCCCGGGTCGCCCGCCCTTGCGCTCTGCGGCCCCGCTTCGGCTCGCTTCCTCCCCCGCCGGCCGCCATGGCCTGCGCCGCCCGGAAGGGCGCGGGCCCGGAGCGCAGGCGGCCGCCGCCCCCGGGGCTGCGCGCGCTGCTGCTGCTCTGCCTGTGGCTGCCGAGCGGTCGCGCCTCGGGCCCGGCCCCCGCGACGCTGTCCGAGCTGCACACGCAGCTCTCGGGCGTGGAGCAGCTGCTCGGGGAGTTCCGCCAGCAGCTGCAGCAGGAGCGGCCGCAGGAGGAGCTGGAGCTGGAGCTGCGCGCGGGCGGCGGCGCTCCGCCCGGCTGCCCCGGCCCGGGCGGCGGCGGCTACAGCGTCATGCCCGACGTCATCATCCGCACCAAGGACTCCCTCGCGGCGGGCGCCAGCTTCCTGAGCGCGCCGGCGGCCGTGCGGGACGGGCGGCAGTGCGTGGCGGCCTGCTGCTCCGAGCCGCGCTGCTCCGTGGCCGTGGTGGAGCTGCCCCGCCCGCCCGCGCCCCCGGCCGCCGCGCTCGGCTGCTTCCTCTTCAACTGCACGGCGCGCGGCCGCAACGTCTGCAGGTTCGCGCTGCACCGCGGCTACAGCAGCTACAGCCTCAGCCGCGCGCTGGAAGGGCAGCGAGACCTGGCAGCAGGCTTCCCGGCGCCCGCCCGGGCCTCGCCGCGGCTGGGTAAGCCGGGCACTGGAGGAGGCGGGGGCCAGAGCGCTGGGGCCCTGCTGTCCTTGCGCCTGTTGGGTGGCTGCCCCTGGCAGACCCGCCTAGGCAGGACCGCTGGGCACTCCCCAGCCAGGAAAAACCTTGTTCCAAGGTGCACGCGTCCGGAAGGGTGGCTTTCATTTCTCAGCCTTAGAGGTGGTTTCGGAAAAATCCCAGCAGATTAAGCAGAGCTAGGCACCAGCAGATTGAGCAGAAGCAGGCACGGTGGGCTGCTTCTGTAATTTTTCTGGGCTTCGGGATAGAGGCTGATCTGGGAGAGGATTCACTGAAATGCAATTTAAAGGAGAAAAGCTCAGAGGCCAAAAAAAGTTTTTTTTACCCAGAATATCGAAACCTCTTTTTGAGTCTGACTTCACTTTTGAATCTTGACTAGGAGGCCCTACTGATTTCTCAGCCTCAGCTGTATCATTTGCACCCGCACAGTATTGATTCATAGTCCAGAACCTCTTGTCGGTAAGGTTCTGTTTACAGCAGTGCTGTAAATCAGATGAGTGAACAGTATTATTCTTTAAATAAAATGCCACCTTGATATGCTCCCTCAAAATTGGTGTGTCTTACCAAGTATGTTTAGTTTTCAAAAGAAATCAATGTTACCATAGTACTTAACATTGGTTTATTACATTTTTATGACACAAACTCAAAATTACATTTATCTCGTTCTTTCTCCGCAAGTCAAATGTTTTTAAGTGGCATGAACCTTTCCTCTTCTTATCATTTGTTTATTTTAAGGCCTGTTTCTGGGTAGATAAGCTCTGGCTCATTTTAAAATACGTTGTACAATGTGATTTGCCTGGACTTGAACTGAACTGAGAGGACAATGTCTGTTATTTCAAATATAACAGTGATCGATTTAGAGGCTATGAGGACTTCACATCTCACAGCTCACCTAAATGATTCAAAAATGACTTTTTTTTCCTTCCAGGAAGGCATGATTAATTAGTTTTATAATATGCAGGGTACTTCAGCACTTCCCTGATTCTTCTATCTGAAATCTTTGGGGTTAAATTTTTGAGGGTTTAAAATTGGTATATCATTAGCATCCATTGCTATTTATAGCATATAGTTATATTTCAGTTTGTCTACTTAAAAATAGTATTTTAAGATAAATTTCATTGCATTTGGCTGCTAACCCTAAAGTCTTACTGCTGAACGATATGATGCTTTCCAGAATTGTAACGTGGTAAACCATTGTATGGAAAGCAATGAACCTTCCAGAACCAAAGAAGAGTTCTCTGTAAATCTCTATGAAAGGGCCCATTGTTAATGCAGTTGTCGCCTCTCTCCTTACCTGGGAGAAGCAGAATAAAGACATCAGGCGTGGCTCTGAGTTACAAGTCCTCATTGTCTTAAGTGACTATAAAAATGGGACTCATTATGTTCTCAGTAGACATTTGTGCCCTTTGGCAATATCAAGTGTGCGTGTTCCTTGCAACATGTCATTAGAAAAGGCCTCTCCCCTGCGGTGGCAGCAGCATTCTCATTCAGAAAAGTCAGAGCTCAGGGAGCTGCAGTCCCTCACATAAGCCCTGTTTCTGGGCCGTGAGAGGATCACCAGATGAGAAGATAGGGCTGGATAGGTGGGTCTATGAACATCTTGGGAGGAATGGCAACTTGTTGGGGCTTTTCTGATTAGTATTCCAGAAGAATCTTTCTAGCTGCCATGTGTTGAGTGACTACTCATGGTTGCCTCTTGGGGAACTGCTAGGACTGCAGCCATCTTCATACCTCAGGCACCAGAACCTCTAGGACCCTCCGAAGTTTGCTTAGGAGACAACTTTGGCTGTGGAGGAAGAAAGACAGTATCTTCCACAATCATTCAGACTAAGTTAAGGAAGAACCAGCCTAGGGCAGCCTTTGGATCAGAGCTTTGGCCCTGGAGGACAGAGCAAATAGTGGATGCCTTTGGGTGAGCTTACTAATAAGAAGCTGGTTTGGCTCAGTGGAGAGAGCCTCAGCCTGCAGACTGAAGGGTTGCTGGTTCAATTCCTGTCAAGGGCACATGTCTGGTTGTGAGCTCGATCCCCAGTAGGGGGCAGGCAGGAGGCAGCTGATCAATGATTCTCATCATGTTTCTATCTCTCTCTCCCTTCCTCTCTGAAATCAATAAAAAAATTTTTATAAAAGAAGCTTAAATCAAGTAACATATTCACAACTCTGCTCTTAGAAATGCAACTTCTCCCATCAGTCTTCACTGAAGCCGCCCTCAGTTAAGGATTACTATTTAAGCGAGTAAGGGTGTCCTCAAAAAATGTATACACACTTTAATAGCTGATAGCTCCGTTTTGAAAATGAAATGTATTTCCATACACACTGGCTTCATAATTATTCAAAGTGTGTGTATACATTTTGGGGGGACACCCTATGTAAGTAGCCTTAAATTATTTAGTTCCATTCTAGATCGCAGGTAAATGCATACTTGTTTTGCTATTAGGGAACAACTCAGAAACTCAGTGTGCTGGCTCCTGTTGTAAAAAATTAGTTATTAGAAGCTGTGAATTTCCTAGGTGAAAAATTATAACATTCAATGTGGGCTTTATTTTGTATGGATCCAAGAACTTGCCGTAACTTTCCAAATTTTGCACCCATTGAACACTTTATGTCACTCCTGTTTTAAAAACTTGCGAATAAGAACCTTTATATCAGAGGTGGATTTGTGTGTTTTTTTAAGGTTTATTTCAAGAATGTTTAAAATTAATTCATTTAACAACTTTGAACATAGGTCATTTATAAATTAAGTGAAAATTTTAGTCTAAAGAATAAAACTACCAATTTATACATTGGAGGGCCTAGTTCACTGTTCTGCTTATATTACAACCAAATTCCAGATTCATAACTTGTTGCTGTCTCACTCATTATGTAAAGGGAATGCAATGAAAATCGATAAAAAATAACTTTCAGATGCTATATATATTTTCTTAGCAGTTCTTTGCTGAACTAAATCTCTTGTAGCAAACAAGATGCCTCTTAATTAAAATTAGAAAAACTGGGGCATCATCTCTCCTGTGAATTCTTTTCTTTCACAGAAAAAGATGAGCCCCCACTTAGCAAGGCCGGGGACGATGTGGTTCTGCGTCTGCCCACAGACGGGCTGGTTTTGGACGGCCGCGAGAGCACAGACGACCACGCCATCGTCCAGTACGAGTGGACACTGCTGCAGGGTGACCCGTCAGTGGACATGAAGGTAATCATGTCATCGTTGTCATGAAAACTGATGTTTCAGGGAAGTGGTCTTTGGTCATGTCCTTCCACTTATGCTCCCCAAATGTCTTTGAGCCAGCAGGAGAGGTATAAAATGGAGAACGTATAAAAGTGAGAGTCCAAAAAATGGTTTGGTCTATAAATGTACTTTTCTACTGAGTAAACAAGTGCTCCTGGCCCTTTGTTTTGAAGATGGCTTTGCTCTTGCTGCTTTTTTTTTTTTTCTCTCAAAAGGCTTTTCTGCATTTTATTTTATTTTAACTCTTTTTTTTTTATTGCTTTAAGTATTACAAAGAGTATTACATATGTCTCCTTTTTTTTTTTTTTCCCCCGCCCTTGACAATCCCCTGGCCTCCCCTACCCCCCAGTGTCTTATGTCCATTGGTTATGCTTATATGCATGCATACAAGTCCTTCGGTTGATCTCTTACCCACCCCCTCCTGCCCTCCCACCCTCCCGGGCCTTCCTGCTGTAGTTTGACAGTCTGTTCGAGGCAGCTCTACTTCTGTATCTATTTTTGTTCATAAGTTTATAATGGTCTTTATTATCCAGAAATGAGTGAGATCATGTGATATTTTTCCTTCATTGACTGGCTTATTTCACTTAGCATAATGCTCTCCAGTTCCATCCATGCCGTTTCTTGCTGCTTTTTTGCTGCCTTCACCAGATACCAAAAACCTCCGAGGAAAAAAGACTCCTGCTTTGTTCTAATGACTCAGATTACTGTTTACAATTTTTTATTTCTTCTTTTCTTAGTTCAAGATCCAGGTAGAGAATTTGAAAATTACAAAGGGGTATAAAGAAGAAAATAACAGCAGAAGGAGCCCATTCTTCACCTGATCCAGAAAGCAAACATTTAACCTAGCAGTTTGGGCCTGTTTGAGACAGCGAGTGACAATGAGTGGGAGACAGTGACTAATGAGACAATGAGTGACTAAGTCAGGTGCTCCACCCTGATTGTCATCAGGCTGGTCTGGGCCCAGCTGCAATTGCTAAGGTGGGATTGAGCTCTGTGTCAGCAGCTGCAGGCAGTACACAGTACTTCCTGGCTTGCGCAGATAAACTTTCCCCAAACCACTCACAGCGGTTCTCAAGCTGTGGGTTGAGTAGAGGAAGTGGGGGAAGTCTGTATTGGTTTGCTAGGGCTGCAACAGCAAAGTAACCCAGACTGCTTGGGTTAAACAACCTATGTTTATGTCCTCACAGTTCTGGAGGGGAGAAGTCCAAGATTAAGGTTCCAACAGGGTTGGTTTCTTCTAAGGCCTATAGTTTCTTCTTGGCTTATGGTTGGCTGTTTTCCTTCCTGTGTCTTCATGTGGTGTCCCCTCTGTGGGGAGCCACTGATTTGTATTATATTGAGATTGCAACAAAAACAATCACCTCGTCTCTCAAGACTGATTTACGTACACTGATTTACTCAGTGGTTATGCCGTCTTAGAATTAGGCTGGGCCCTTGTTCCACACGGTACCCAGCTTTCCATCCATATCCCATCAGAGCCCCTTCTGCGGCATACCTTCCAGAGGGCTCCCACTATCTGCCTACCTATTCCCAGATATGCACGCTCACTACTTCGCCTCAGGTCCGCTGGCGTCTTTAATCAGCTGTAATTATTGGGCACACAGGATATGCCTCCCTATTACTTCTGTGTATTGTACTGGGTCTTCTCTTTGGAAAAGCATTGGACACATCTTTCTTTATTCTTAAGAGTCCCTTAACTCTTTGGGAAAAAAAATGTATGTCACCACTTGGAATGCTTTCCTCAAAATGCAATATCCCCCCTTCTTTCAGATGAATTGATTTCCAGACAACCCACCACCCAGCCTCTTCTGGATTTTCTCAGACTCATCCACACACTTGCTAAAACCTGGCACCCCTTTTTGAACCCCGTATGTCAACTGAAGATGTGTGTATCTTCCGGACACAGCTGTCAGCTCCTGTGATCCAGACATTGTCTCTACTTCTATTAATGAAGCTTAATTTACATAAGCTGCTTTAGTAGCTGCATCATGGGCATGTGGAGTTTTCCATTGGCAGGATTACCTGAAGCCTGCTTCATCTTTTACATGAACTGCTGCCCTGGTGGCCTCCCCATCTTGTTTGTGTAATTGATTGATTGAACCTGAGTGCAGGACCTTATATTTATCCTTTTCACATCTCAATAGAAATAGCCTAGCCAGTGTGGCTCAGTGGTTGAGTGTCGAACTATGAGCCAGGAGGTCAGGGTTGAATTCCCAGTCAGGGCACATGCTAAGTTCCAGTGCCCCCAGGATGCTGAAGGTCATTACCCAGGTCTGGATCCAAGCCTGGTGTTTCCTTCATTGGAGAGGAGGGGCCTGGGAAGGCATCACAGCCCAGGGACAGGGGAAGCTCTGTCCTCCACCCTGAGTTGGAGAAGGCTTCCCGCACACCGCAGGCCCACAGTTTTAGTCTGACACTGGTGTGCCGAGAGTTGACCCCAGAGGCCCAGCAACTCACTCACCTTCACAAAGAGCTCTGGCCCAGCCTGGTGACCACAGTGAATAGACGCCCACGAGGGTGATCAGCGGGGAATAGTTGGGGGAACTCGGACACAGAAACAGAAGCCCGGGAAGTAGGGAGTTCAGAAGACAGGAGTGGCCAACAATGCTACATACAGTAAGGGGGCCGGTGTTATTTTTGGAAGAAAAAAAAAAAAGACAAGAGGAATAAGTGTTGTTGAACTTGATGCTAGGCAACCCTTACAAGGTCAGTTAGCAAGTTTTACCAGCACAGTGCCTGGGGAATGATGGGGAAAGAAGCCAGGTGGGTAGGACAAACAATCAGTGGAAAATGAGCAGATGAAACAGCATGTGCTACATGGACAGCCTTTTCAAGAAGTTGAGCTGAACTGAAAAGGAAATAACACTGTGGCTGGAGAAGATCTGGGGAGTTTTTATTTCTCGTTGTTTTGGTTGTTAGGTCAAGAGAAACTTGAGCTTCATAATAGCAGTGAGGTCTTAGAAGGAAAGGGGTCAAGGACCAGATGATGGGTGGAGTGTGAGACGGAAACAGGTCACCTAATGACTGGAGGAAAGGAGGTGCCGATGGTACAGGGGCGGGTACGGTGGCAGTGAATGGAGGAGCCGTGGTTATAACCATACTATGGCCCTAATTTTCTTCTGGAAGTAGAGGCGTCTCCTGCTGAGAAGGAGGGACTGGCTCTTGGGTGTGGAGCTGGGAAGAGGCGCAGGTTTGGAACAGCGGCTGTTGAAGACAAGTGAAGGATTGTCAGTCGAGGGTATTGTCAGTCCAGATAGCATTGGGAATTGGGAATTCAAAGGAGGGCCAACCTGCCAGATGGGGTATGACTTAGTATTCCGCAGCCTTGGGCGGAATGGGGAGGCAGGTCATGGGGCTGCTACGAGGAGGACACTGCTTTCCAGTTCAGGGCGACGCTGGGCTCTGCCTCACATCTCTAACCAAATGTGATGCTTCCTGTTCGGGTGGCAGGTGCCTCAGTCAGGGACGCTGAAGCTGTCCCACCTGCAGGAAGGACGGTACACCTTTCAGCTCACCGTGACGGACACTGCGGGGCAGAGGAGCGCCGACAACGTCTCGGTGACCGTGCTGCCCCCGGCCTTCCCCACGCGAGGTGAGCAGGAAGTTTTTTCCTGGAATTCACAGCGGCCAACAGAACCCAGACTGTGTACAGAGGGTGGGATCAGAGTGGCATTTTGTATTCTAACTACGCATTCCACGGGCTCTTCCGTTTTATTTTTGGGTCTTGTTGACAGAGAGTCTCTACTAAAACTGTGATCACAAAAGTAGCTCCTTTATGCCTCGGGCCAGCAACACCACTGGACTGAGGTGGGGATAGACTGTGAGAGCCGTGGGACCCGGAGTGGCTCCATCTTTCTTTACTGGATTTCATAAAAGACAATCATGAGGCTTTCCCAGGAGAGGATCTATTTAAAGGTGTGTGGCCTGTCTGATATGTATGCTCAATAGTGCAGCAAGGAGCACACTGAAGACAAATCAGCCCTAGCCTGTTTGGCTCAGTGGCTAGAGCGTCAGTCCTCAGACTGAAGGGTCCCGGGTTCGATGTTGGCCAAGGGTACGTCCTTTGGTTGCAGGCTTCTAGCCTGAAATCTTTCGTCTGCATTCCCAGTGTCAGGAAGTCCCCCAGTTGTTACATAGCTGAGCCTAGTAGAGTGGGCTTACTCTGGAGTGGGGAAATGCCTTTTAGGGAAATACATTGCCCTAACCAGTTTGGCTCAGTGGACAGAGCATCGGCCTGTGGACTGAAGGGCCCCGGGTTCGATTCCGGTCAAGGGCATGTACCTTGGTTGCAGGCACATCCCCAGTAGGGAGTGTGCAGGAGGCAGCTGATCGATGTTTCTCTCTCATCGATGTTTCTAACTCTCTATCCCTCTCCCTTCCTCTCTGTGAAAGATCAATAAAATGTATTTTTTTAAAAAAGAAAATACATTGTAGCTCCTATGAATTGGACTGCGGATTAAAAGCTAAGATCTCCAAAAAGGAGACAATGTCATTATTTAGAGAAGAAAAATTTATACCAGCCAGTACCTAAAGATTCTGTTTATTCTTTTTTTTTTTTTTAAATATATTTTATTGATTTTTTACAGAGAAGAAGGGAGAGGGATAGAGAGTTAGAAACATCGATGAGAGAGAAACATCAATTAGCTGCCTCCTGCACGCCCCCCACTGGGGATGTGCCCGCAACCAAGGTACATGCCCTTGACCGGAATCGAACCTGGGACCCTTGAGTCCGCAGGCTGACGCTCTATCCACTGAGCCAAACCGGTTCGGCAATTCTGTTTATTCTTTACAGCACCAAGGAGGTATGGTGGTCAACAAATAGGGTTCAGTAGTAAAAAGTTAATCTCAGTAAAAATCATTGCTTAGGAAACGAGAATGTAAGACACGGCCTGTGTAAAATGGTGTACCGGATACAGCGGTCAGCCACCCACGTGCCATGCAGGGTTGGGGCTGACCGAGAAGGTGGTGGGATGAAGGAACTAACGCAGAGTGAGGCCCGAGTGGGGAGGCCCAGGTCAGGGTGGGGAGGCCCAGAGCTGCTTCCTCTCTCGTCCCACCTCGTGGCAATGTCGGCGTGGAGAAGAGCCCTACGTGAAGCCCGGGTGATTCCCGAGAACTAAGTCAGGGCCTCTTGCTCCAGCTCCGACTGTTAGGTGCTTCCTTATCTGTATCTCTTCACCCACATGCATTTCATCACACGATGAGTCTGTCATCCTGAGGTGGAAGGCAGCTCTCCTGCAGTCCTGTGACTGGAGTCTTGTCTGTGAACAGGATGCTCAAAGGTTTGCTCACGCCACCACTTCTTTTGTGACGACGGCTGTTGCATTGACATCACACTGGCTTGTGATGGAGTGGAGCAGTGTCCTGACGGATCTGATGAAGCTTTCTGTCAAAATTGTGAGTCGGCTGCGTGGCCTGTTGGGGCAGAAGGGATGCCTGTATTCTTGCTTATATGCAAGTCAATAGACAGTCCTTGGGTTACGTCAGACTCGATGTATCATTTCGTGGCTACGTCGCCATCTCCCATTTATTTATAAGAAAAAAGTTCCGTCATTTCGATGTATGTACATATGTGCTTTATGTTCTTTATTATTTACCACAGGTAAAGGCCAGGAATTGTTCTCTTTTAAATTTTTTTTTTTGCTGTTTCACTTCATTACTGCTGTGTCTGTGCTCCACGTGAGTGACGTGTAGGTGCTTATGTAGGTGGGTTCCGACTTACGGCGAAAATCGAGTTACATCGCCGTAGGAACGGATCGCCCACGTCACCCGAGGACCTACTGTATAGCTATAGCTCTTTTCCCGCCCGGTTTCAGGTGTAACTTGATGTGAACAGGCTTTGCCTTAAATGAAGCAGCATTTATTGAGTCTCATGCTAGTTACAAAGGTCAGAGAGCTTATATTGCTTCATTTTTCAGAAATTGTTTGCACTTTTCCAAAAGATTCTTCACCATCCGAAAAATGCTCTATCATATATGCTTTTTAAAGAACTGAAGTGAGTTAACATTTTGTTTGGATACATTTTTTAGAAAATGCATGACAGACTGTGGTGTGGCTAAGTCATCTGCAAAGCAGTTGCATGTCGTATGCATACACATGACCCACAGGAAAGAAGAAAAGCTGCAGAAAGTTAATCAAGTGTTGGTTTGAGGAAGGATGAGGAATCTCACAAGGTTTAAAAGTTTTCTCTTCGTCAATTTGTATGTGACAGAAAGTTAATTACTAGAAGAGAGATCACTCATTTGAAAACGAGAGAGAGGTTTTTATGAGACTGTGACATGTCTTAACTGGATACGTTATTATTCCCAAATACCCATGACTTCAAATCTACTGCAGATTTAGGGGTTTTAGTTGAAGCTCAGAAAAGAAGCCCAATAAACAACTAACTAGCTCTTGCCCGCTTCAGTGAGCCTTGACCGGGAGACGGAGACTCACATGGTGACTGCCCAGCCTAGAACCATAGCAGCGAGCGAAGATGCAGCAGGGCACTTCTTGGAGAAGTCTCAGAAAGCCGCTGCCCCACAGCCGCCACCTGCGTTACCAGACACGGAGAGGAATCATTCCACCTCCTGGGGACCAAAGATTCAAACTGACCCCCTGATGCCAGGTAAGGGCTTGAGACAGGTTCTCCACAAAGAGCTTTGATTTCTATGAGGACACTTGGCTCAAAATTAAGGTTATATTTGGAGAGTGATAAGGAACTATCTTAAAAGAAAGAGGAGCATTACAATGAAGAATTTGGCCAAAAGAAAAAAATAAAACCTCCCATTTGCACTGATTAGTTTTTATAGTAAGAAACACCTACTAAATACAAGCATACATTCATACCTGGATACACACTCCAGAGGTATCAATAATCAATACATTTATTTGTAAATAAATTAGAGATAGAAACACTTATATTCCGGCAATTAATGCCCTAAGTGTTAAATTTGAGGTTATTTTGAGATGAAGCAGTATAATCCCAATATATTCATGTAAATCCTCCTCACACTAAGCAAGTGAAGGAAGTAATATGTCATTTTGAAATGGTTGCATGTGCTGGTGATTCAGTGTTATGCCTCCAATTTAACTACATCTGTAACTTTTAATTTTAAAATAAGGCTAATAGGATTTTTAAATGCATCCACACTGTTGAAGCATTATAGGATTATATCGTTTTAAGTTAATTTTTACTCATTTATATGTGTACCATTGTATGATAGGAGAAATATAGACCATCACTTATGTATGCTTTTGTGAATATCTTTTCAGTACTCAAACTCTGCATACATTAAACTGAAATAATCTATCACTAGTTTATTTATTTATTTATTTTTTTAAAAATATATTTTATTGATTTTTTACAGAGAGGAAGGGAGAGAGAGATAGAGAGTTAGAAACATCGATGAGAGAGAAACATCGATCAGCTGCCTCCTGCACATCTCCCACTGGGGATATGCCCGCAACCCAGGTACATGCCCTTGACCGGAATCGAACCTGGGACCTTTCATTCCACAAGCCGACGCTCTATCCACTGAGCCAAACCGGTTTCGGCAAATCACTAGTTTAATAACTTCTTTGTGACAATTTTTTGTTCATTGCAGAAGGTACAGAAGATGCAAATAAGAAAAAAGAAAATGACTTAAAATATCAGCCTTTATTGAAAACAAATGTTAATGTTTTGGTATATTTGCTTCCAATATTTTGTTTACCTTCTTTGTGGATTTTAAATGCTTCCATACAAATATGTTTGCAAAAATTTCATAGGAGGCCTTTCTTTTTCTTTTTAAATACATTTTTATTGATTTCAGAGAGGGAGACGGAGAGAGAGATAGAAACATCAATGATGACAGAGAATCATTGATTCGGGTATGTGCGCTGATGGGGAATTGAACCATGACCTCCTGATTCATAGGTCTACACTCAACCACTGAGCCACGCTGGCAGGGCCTTTTGCTTTGACAGTTTAGGTTCAGTGCCCTTCAGATGCCTGCTTTGGTCAATTCCTTGTTGATACTGCCACCTAATGGGCAAATCAGTCACTTCAGCCCTGCCTTGGAATTTTAGTCGTTTTCTCTACATGGAAAAGACAGCCACCTAAGAAACAGTCAAGGGAGACCAGGTGTTTTTGGCAGGAGGAATGAAGAGCTGACGGAGAGAAGTGAGTTTTCAGAGACCAGGGTAGAGGAACTCTTGCTACTTACTGTGTTAGAGAGGCCCACGTGAAAGAAGTTCCCCATCAGTTAATAAGGGATTTCAACCAGATGCCTAAGGCCCCATCCAGCACTGAGAGCCTGTTTCAGGGATGTTAAGTAGCCTGACGTTCATACAGAACTTCATCGGCCCAAATTGTGCTAGATTGCTCAGTGATCCTGTCACTGGGGACCCTTAGAGCTTAGGAGAAAAAGCAAAAGTACATGCCTAAGGAAAGGGTGGCATGGCGTGCTCAAGGAGGAGCATACACCGGGTCCTTGGTCTTAAGGGTTTTTAATCTGTTGTCTAAAGGCGGGAGTTTTAGCCTGGCTGATGTGACTCAGTGGTTGAGCATCAACCCATGAACCAGCAGGTGGTCACGATTCAATTCCTGGTCAGGGCACATGCCTGGGTTTCAGGCTCAATCCCTAGTAGGGGGCATGTAGGAGGCAGCAATCAATGAGCCTCTCTCATCATTGATGTTTCTATCTCTCCTCTTCTCCCTCTCCCTCTTTCTCTCTAAAAACAGTAGTAAAAAAAATAAAGGCAGGAGTTTTAGGATAGGTCTCAGGGGAGGGTCTCAGCAGAATATTCAGCAGCTTTCCTGGTGCTGATGCATCAAGATGAGTGTATAGGGGAGTTGGGGATCATTCCTGGTCAGCTTCACTGCTGTCTTTACTTTTATCTTGGGTTTGTCTGGCTCTTCTTTTGTTGTTGTTATTTGTTCCCTTGACTGCATCTGTTCTGAGGGTTGGCTGGCACTAGTGGCACCCCTATCTCCCGGACCAGGTGATTTAAGCTACCTGCTTGCTGGTTGGGGAGGAGAGGTGTAAACCATCTGCTCCTAATTGTTCTTGGTTAGGGAAGATAAGATCTTGTGTTATTAGCAGGCTGTTAATTGCTTGGCCTTGTTTAACTGCTTGTCTCAGTGCACTCATCCCACCTGCCAAGGAATTTCCTAGCTTCTTACTGTGTTCCCAGCTCCGCCTTCTGGGGAGTGAGGACTCAGCCTCAGCATCATCCTGAAAATAATGTTGCCGCCCAGTTTGAGATATATTTGCAATCTCTGTTTCAGATATGAAGCCTTTGACTTGGGCTATGAATATGTAAGAAATGAAGTTTCAGAGATGAAGAGAGAGTAGATATTCAGTTATTTATAATATATAGTGTTTTTTTCCTAATTATTAAAGTGATATGCATTTATAGTAGAAATTTGGAGAATACAGAAAAATTTTTTAAATCATGTAGCAAAGCTCACTGTTAACATTGTTACATTTTCTTCTGGTTACTTTTATTTATACACATATGCACGCACATTTACTTTTAACAACATTAGGATATTTTTACAAAGCTTATTTTTCTTATGAGCATTTTTATGTGTTACTAACTATCCATCAAAAACACAATGTTTGAAAATCCAGGACCAAAGAAATGGGCAGAGTAGAACTTTGAAAGTGTCGGAGAGGCCCTCACAGCCCGTGGCGTTCGTTTAGACAACAGCCTTCTCCCAGCTTCCAATTCTATGCGCGTTGAAATGTTATATTCAGCATAACATAGATTTAAAAATACATTATTGTTCATGACCTATGCCTGTTCTACAAGAATCAACAGCTAGTACAAGAAATATGAACCAGTTAAGTGTTCTGCTGCCTCCTTCCCCCATACACGTTCAACTCATTTTAGACATACTGAAGCGATACCAAGGTTAATGCTAGTAATATAGTACAGAAAGTAGGAGAGGCAGTCTTTCATCTATCACATTGGCAGAGGTGAAAAAGTAATAATTAATGCTTAAACGAGTACAGGGAAGCAAGTCTCATGCACTTTGGGTGGGATTAACTTTACGATTTTCCACTATCCAGATGACTTGTGATCCTTAGTAAGTCCATGTATTTTTCTTAGTACAAGTTACCAAATAAATGCATCTAGTTCCTTTAAATAGTCTTGTTTCAGTTGCAGGTGTCCTGAACATTTCTGTTGACGCCATATGAGTAAGGAAGCTTTAAAATGTTTGTTTCTCCATAAAATTCCTCATGTCGGCTGATCATTTCTAATTTACAGACATTAAGCCTTGTATTTCCCCAAAATCGCACTTGAAATCACACCACAGTGTGAGGGTAACGTTACTAACTCATTATTATACTGTCAATGTAACAAGCACACAAATGCTATAAATTACTAGAGAGGAAATGATAGAATGGACCGGCCATTGCTCATTAGGAGAACCTGGGATAAAATTGTAAGATTTTATCTTTCTTAATATCTCCTCTCAATAGTATACATAGGGTCAGGTGAGAAAGTGAAATAGCACGTCCATGTGCCTTCTGTATGCTCTGTTCGTTTTTTATGAAGAAAAACCTCTCAGGACTGCGTCTGCTTTCCATTGTATGAAGTTCAGAGATTACCCTTGACTTCTCTGGCCGAGTCCCTTCCTTCTCTGAGGTGGAGGTGGGAGTCCTGGCACAATATGATTGTTCCCCTCTCTCTGTCCAGTGGTTTTGTACTGGCCACACATTCTGCTGTATTAAATTGATCACATTACTTATCTAGTGTATTGGTGATAAGCTTAGGCCTATGCTTATTAGAGAAACAGATGTTGTATATTCATGTCTTTCTTCTAAAGTTTCTGATGTACCCTCAATATGTGTTCTACTTATTTTCCAGATAGTGATTCCTCGGGGAAAAACGAAAAAGAAGAAAATTATATTTTTGAGTCAAAGAGCAATCGAGGAGGAGGGGAACACCCAGCCCCAGAAATAGGTAAATATGTGTGGGGAGCCGGCACGGCCATGGCATACTCAGCCCCGGGGCACCTTATGTGCCACGCCAGCTCAGGCTGGTTCAGTGACCCTGAGTGGGGGCGGTGAAGGATGGAGAAAAGACAAACAAGAGAAAAGGGTGGGTCTGGGTGGGACGCTGCTCCCAGATGGAGAGACAGCGCCACAGACTACAAGCCCTGTCTTTATTTTATAGACAGATTCCACGAGGCAAAGTAAGGGCGTGGTCAAGATGTGTACAACATTCTCATAGGTTTCGATCCTACTCAGTTTCAAGCCCACATCACTCAGACATGTGGGTCCACGTGTTCGGACCATAGGTTCAAGCTTACAACTACAGCTGTTGGCTATAATTGTGCTGGAGAGCTCTGCCCTCCAAGCTGGGACTTGCACGTGGCCATGAGAGGACTGTGCCCTCTCATTAGTCCAAGGCTTGAATCTGTCCAAACACTGTAGCCGCTCTCCACAAATATGTACCTTGAAAATTCATCACAGAGTATAAAGATTTTTTTTTAATTCTTCAGTTTTTTATTTATTTATTTATTTTGGTTATTTTTATTGATTTCAGAGAGGAATGGAGAGGGAGAGAGAAATAGAAACAGAGAGAATCATTGATCGGCTGCCTCCTGCACGTCCTGGGGATCGAGCCCACAACCCAAGCATGTGCCCTTGACCGGAGTCGAACCCGGGACCTTTCAGTCTGAAGGCTGACACTCTATCTACTGAACCAAACCGGGTAGGACGCAGAGTATAAAGATTTGCAGAATCGCATACCCTCTAGTTGAGGATACCAGAAAAAACTTTAACAGCTCAAGACAAGAGCAGTAGTCTGTGGATCAGAACTGATTTCTCATCATCTCCTATATCAAGCTTCACTTTCGGGCACTTACACTAGTCACCTCACATCTTTGAACCTCAGCTTCCTCTTTTATAAGTTGATTGAACTAGATAATCACCATGGTCCCTTCCAGGTGTAACCTTCTGTGAAAAGAGTAATATTCGTGGCATTGTGGTTAAGAACAAGACGCCAGGTTCAGATCTTCCTCCACCACTGAACTTTATGACCTTGGGCAGGTTTTCTTCTCTCTCTGGATCTCTGTTTCCTCCTGTGTAAGATGGAGCTAAGAACTATACCTGCCCGGAGTTGTTAGGGAGAATACCTGGGACAGTAAATACAAAGCACTTAGCACAGTGCTTGGCTCATACAATGACGGTTATTATTACTGAGTTATTTGTGATACAACAAGAGTAAAGGTCTTAGAGTACCCAGTTCTCTCCAGGTGTTCGGATGCAAAGACAGAAGCCAATAGGAACAGGGAAAGTGTGTAGGAAGTAGAGGGAATATTTAGTAAGTGAAAGAAAAGTCTCTTCATTCCATAATTTTGGTTGTTTTTAACTAGAAAGAAAACACTTCCTAAATAGTCCTGTAGGAAGTCAGGCTTTAGTCCTAAATCCCTAAACTAACTAGTGAAAATTTAGGGGAATGAAAGACGATTCTTCAGTTGTAGATCTAAGTTGAGAAAACTTCCTTTTTCACCCTAGAATGTCTTTTGTAATATTTACACAATATTAAAGTGTGCCGAGCCGGCATGTCCATGGGTGAACCTGAGGGGGAGCGGTGAAGGATTTAGAAAAGACAGACAAGAGAAAAAAAGCTAGGTCTAGGTGGGACGCTGCCCTCTCTGATGGAGAGACAGCGCCCCGGCCTGCAAGCTGAGTCTTTATTTTATAGCCAGATCCCAGGAGGCAAAGTAAGGGTGGTTACAACGTTCTCGCGGGTTTCAAATCTACTCAATTACATGCACCTGATCAAGCTTTGTTTACTTGTGGCACCTCCTGCAGCCCATATCTCTCAGCCACGTGGGGCCACAGGTTCGGACCATAAGGTCAAGCTTACAACTATAGCCTTTGGCTATAATTGTGCTGGGCCTTGCACGTGGCTTTGCCACGAGAGGATCATGCCCTCTCATTAGTCCCAGGTTTGAACCTGTCCAAACGCTGTAGCCACTCTCCACATTAGAGTATAATTTTTAAACAATGGATGGCCAAAATATTCCAGATGTCAAACACATGGATGCTGCCCCGTCTGCTGTCCTGCTGGACTCACCCTGACCCAAGATATTTGAATAAAAAGAGCCACTCCCGGTCATATGAACAGAATACCCAGTTTGCCCCTTAGCTGGTTTCTGAGAAAAATATCATGATGTGGTTTAACGGGGGTTAGAAAGTTTTAAATCTCAAAGAACCCAAACTAAAAACATTGAAGAAATACTTAAAAGTCCATAAGAATTTTCTGTATTCTAGCAAGCACTTTCTGGGAGATTTCATTTTCCTTGTCATCAAAGCAGTAAACAGGAATCAGATTTGACAGTTCAGCAGCCTCCTATCTGACTTAGCCCATAGAAAATCCCCCTAGAATCTCTAGGGCCTACATTGTATGTTTTACTGTACCCTGTAGCCTAAATACTGGAGCTCATCCTTAAGGGCAGCCTTTAATCATCTTCTTGCCTGAACAAGAGGGTGGCCCTTCTCTCCTTTGTCCCATTCCTTTGTCACATTTCTAACCTACGTGGCTAGTACTGGAAGACGCAGGGAGTGGGGGGAGGAGGAACCGACACCTTCATGGGCCTTGGCTGTTTCAAAACTGCCTTCGTCAGGGCGGCCGTTAGGAAACTCTAGTGGCCAAAGCTCAGCGTCAGGTGGAGAAACTCTGCAGTGATCATGGAGTCCTGCAGGGGGCTGTTGTGCGTGGAATGTATGAGCCAGCTCCAGAGTCAATGCTAGACCTTTGGCTTATCACAGATTTTTATCTTTCCCAATTCTCTACGGAATACCAGCCTTTGTTTGGTACCCAACAGTCACAGCCACAACTTCCACATCCCCTCCTCCTGTGCCAGACACTCCCAGGCACAATCTTCTTCAGTTGATGCCATTAGTATGTACTCAGCTCCAGGTCCTCTCGTCTTGGAGAGGAGACCACTCTACCTGGAACCAGTTTTAAGCCTGGAAAAATCAAAGCCATCAGGAGTGAACTTCCTCAGCTCCCTCCGATTGTAAGTTCTTGTCTGTTTGCACCACCATCTCCTCCTTTCCTCTTGTACTAAAGGGGCTGTTTCCTCTCCCCAGGTCAGTCTCTCCCCCAGCCTTGATGCAGGCCCTTATCTTCTCGGGTACATTTCTCCATCATGTGTTAACCCTCCTGGGTTTTGTTTGTTATTTTTTATTGATTTCAGAGAGGAAGGGAGAGGGAGAGAGAGAGAGAAACATCAGTGATGAGAGAGAATCATTGATCGGCTGCCTCCTGCATGCCCCCTACTGGGGATCAAGCCTGCAACCTGGATATGTGCCCTTGACCGGAATCGAACCTGGGACCTTTCACCGAGCCTCTATCCACTGAGCCAAACCGGCTAGGGCAACCCTCCTGTTTTTAATCTGTTTCTTTATGGTTTATTCCCAACAGCTGCAGCCACATTCCCATCTCTCCCAACACAATGGTGTCCCTGGGTTTCTAACTGCTAAGCCCAGTGGCCTCCCGAGGCTTCACCTCCCCGGACCTCTCCTTAGCATCTATGCAGCTGAGCACTTTTCTCTTGACATAGTCTCTTCCTTCTGCTCTAAGACACCCTTCTGTCTTGGTTGCCCTACCATTTCTCTGACCTGTCTTTTCCTATTCTTTTGCGTTCTCTCCTTTTGACTGCCCCCTTAAATGGTGGTGTTTCTCAGGACCTTGTTCCCAACCTCCCTTCCTTCCTCTCTGGCAACCTCACCCACTTTCATGGCTGCAACCACCACCTTGATGCTAACGGCTCCCACATATTTAGGCCCGAATAACCCCAAACCTACTAGAAAACCACCTGGGTCACCTCTAGGAATCTCAATTTGAAAATGTCAAAAAATAAACATCTCAAAAATAAATAAATAAAAATAAACATCTCCCTTGCCCACCCAAAAAGACCCATCATACATCCAGGTCACTCAAGCCAAGACCCAGTGAACCAGATGCACGGACACTCCTCTTACACCTGTACTTCTTACTGTGTTTTCCCACTTAAATATCTATCTACCCAGACTGGAGGTCACTAGGCTATGACCTCCTCTACCTTTTGGAGCAGTACTGGACCCAGTGGTCCTGGAGCTGCACTGTCTGGGGCAGTGTCCTAGCTTCACCACTAACCATACACTCAGCCGAGTCACTTAATTCTTGGTGCCTTAGGTCCCTCATTTGTAAAATGGGGATAAGAATTCTACCAACTCGCATGGTGGCTGAGAATTAGACGAGTGAATCGAGAAAGCACTGAGGACAGTGCTGGCACGCCTCAGCAGCGGCTTATCATCGTTGATGAGCAGCACTTAGCTCAGTGTTAGGCACCTGGCTGCTAATTAATGCAGAAAGAATGAATAAATGAAAGAAAAGGCTATAGAATCGGCTTATGCAATGGAGATTTTGCTCCTCTAGCTCCACCAGTTGGCAAGACCCTTATAGCTAAAAATAGCCCCACCATCTCATCTGAAAGACTGGGCTGACTAGAAAGTAGGTCAGACTAAAAATAAGGCCGGCGCTTGACAAAACTGATCTGCTTTTTTATATACAAGTTTGACTTTTTAAAATTCCACATGTAAATGATATCATATAGTAATGGTCTTTCTCTGTCTTATCTCACTTAGTAAATAAGCCATAGAGAGCTAATGCATGGTATAATGAATATAGACAATAATACTGTACTTTAATGATGTGATAAATATTGCTTCAGTGGCAATTATATTACAATATATAAGTGTATCACCCAACTGGCGTGGCTCAGTGGTTGAGTATCGACCTATGAACCAGGAGGTCCCAGTTTGATTCCTAGTCAGGGCACATGCCCAGGTTGTGGGCTTGATCCCCAGTAGGAGGCAGCCGATCAATAATTCTCTCATCATTGATGGTTTCCATCGCTCTCTCCCACTCCCTTCCTCTGAAATCAATAAAATATAATTTTAAAAAAACAATATATAAATGTATTCAAGTAACAGGCTATATACCTTAAATTTATCAAGTATTTATCAGTCTTTTTTCTTTTTTATAGAAAGACTGATCCAGGGCATACCCTGTTCCTCCCAAATTCCTGCAAGCCTCTAAAGCAGTGGTTCTCAACCTTGGCTGCACATTAGAATCACCTGGGAATCTTTTTAAAATCCTGATTTCTGGGCCTCATCCTCCGGAAATTCTGTTTCTTTGTTATGGGGTGGGGCCACAACATTAGTAACAAAGTGAGAATTTCCAGAGGATGAGGCCCAGAAATGAGGATTTTTAAAAAGATTCCCAGGTGATTCTAATGTGCAGCCAAGGTTGAGAACCACTGCTCTAAAGGCTGCTTCTAGTCTGGCTGTGTAGGAACAGCCCCACAGGAAAACCCTGTTTCCCTCAACTACCCTTAGCCAGAATTACACCAGCATATTTTGAAGTTAATTTTCAACCATGGTTCTACGGGCTGAAACTAGGTTCACTAGATTTAGAAAAAATAAAAATTAACATCAGTTGTCCGTACTTGTTTTTGGAGGGAATGATCATGTGTGAATCCATAAATGTCACCTGTTGACTGCAATGAAGTTTTCTGTGGTCACAGTGTCTACACTTGCCTGCTGACAGGGTGTCTATTACAGTGGACATGAGGCTGATCTGACTGCAACATTTGTACCCATTGATGCCATTAAATTCTGTAGGAACCTGGTAGAAAATTTGGGTATAAAGAAGTCTGGCTTTGAGACCTCAATCTGCTATGTACAAGCTATGTGTGTGCTCTTAGATCAATTAATCTCTTGGCAACTCAGTTAATCTGCAAAATGCTGGTAATGCAGGTATCTGTCTACTTAAGTGAGTTACTTAGATTAAATGAAATAGCGCATACGAAGTGCTTATCCAATCACGGACCCACTGCCAGGCTGCCGGGCCGGCGTGGCTCAGTGGTTGAGCATTGTCCCATGCATTAAGAGGTTACTGGTTCAACTCCCAATCAGGGCACATGCCCAAGTTGCAGGCTTGATCCCCAGTAGGAAGTATGCAGGAGGCAGCCGATCCGTTTCTCTCTCATTGATGTTTCTCTCTCTCCCCCATCGCTCTGAAAATCAATAAAAACACTGGCCCACCCTCTTTACTTCCACTGTTTACAGGTGCAGTGCTGCCACTGACACTGGGCTTGGCCATCACTGCGTTGCTGCTTCTCATGGTTGCCTGCCGACTACGCCTGCTCAAACAGAAACTGAAGAAAGCTCGTCCCATTACATCTGAGGAATCTGACTACCTCATCAATGGGATGTATCTCTAATAAATGTAACTTAAGTAGCTGGGGCAAGGACGTTTCACTTGTAATTTATTCGTACACTGGGTTTTGGATATTTAGAATCTTTTTTTTAACTGGGCTAAGAAAAGTATGGAAAACCCAGAAGATTCTACAAGCCCCAAACCTTTGTTCTTATTTATTGTAGAAATATTTCCCTTTGGAATTATGTGAAATATTTTGAAATTTAGAGGAGTCCATACAGTTAAAGACTTACAATCTAATTCTGATTTATGTATGCTGTCCCTGAAAATAGAAATTTGTAGTTACCCAAAACAGAAAATTTAGTATCTCAAGAGGTGGCCTTAGAACGGCAGTGTTAACAACTCCGTACTTTTTAGAAGCCATGGGCCCCTGGCCACCCTGTGCCACATGGTGCACGACTTCCCCTTGTTCTGTGGCCCTCCTATTGCTCACTTTCCCCTTCCATAGCTCTCCCTTCTCCCCTGCAAAACCTGTTTCTGAGAATGGACCTCAAGTGAGATGTTTCCAGCGCCTCTGACATCATGTCATGTAGGTGGCTGCCTCATTAGGCTGACCTTTGGGAGGAAAAACTCAGACTGAATTACAAATAGCTCTAACATGGGCATGAAATGATACAGGAAATCAAGGTGGAACCTGGCAGGTCTAAAATTTTAATTGACTTCACTGAGCGCAAAGTGAGCAAGGAGGACTACTAGTATTTTATTTCGCCTACTCCACACAGCTCAGTGGTCCAGAACACAGCAGCTCATTTTTATAAAAGTCACCAGTTTTCAACATTAGTCTGTATTGATGGGAGAGAAAAGTGCACTTAAATTGAAAAGCAGAATGATGAGTGGATTTCTGGGTGCCGCTTTGGTAAAATTGTCCCGTTTACATATTAGCTGGTTGTTTCATCCACTGGAATGAGTTTTTCCCATTATTTATTTAATGTTATAATGTGCAGTCAGCTAACGCCAGGCCATGTATTCTCAGAGCATAAAGCAGTTTTGCACAAAGTCGTCTTTATAGAAAACTGGCATCTAGTTTAGCATCTCTTCTTTTTGTTTTTTTGGTAGGATTTTAAAGGCAAATTATTCCCATCATCACCTAATGCCAGAATTATACATTTTCTAGAAATTATTCTTCTGAGTGGACTACAGAGTGTGATGCCTGTCTATACTCACATGATATTCCTATTTACATAATGTGTTTGTATTGTCGTTTTTTTACCGTAAGTGGCCAATCTTTTCAAATTCTAGGACACATTTTCAGAATGAACCCGAGATAGGTTGTTCCTTTAGCAAAGAGCTTAATTTGGGTTGGAGATATAACCAAAAACATTAACGAATGGGAAGTTAGTTCTAGAAAAATGGAAATTAGTTCCTTTTATTTCCTGAAAATGTCAAGCATTTTATTGAGTTTAGAACTGAGCAAAGATTTAAATTTTTCCTCAAGGACAGTTTAGAGAAATGACTGTGAATGAACTTAAGTTGTTTGTACTCTTTACGTGATGCTGTGCCCTTTGTTTTCTAAGGAAGGATGTCAGTTACAGCCATACCCAATAAAATAAAAACTGTCAAGGCATGTCTTTCAGCACATCTTTTATACATGAAGAAATTAAACACAATTTAGTACTGCAACAATGTTGAAATACATGAGAAAAGATGTCCCATGTACAAGAGTCTGTTAATAAATTATACTTGATTCTTAATCCTTAACAACTTTTTAATATAATCATAAGTTGCCAATATTTACTGAGCTGTACTATCTTACCTGGGTTTAATCATACCAACCCTATTTTACAAAGAGGGAAATTAAGGATTAGAGAAGCAGAATCAAGAACTTCAAAATACACTGCCAGATGGACTGAACAGGACTTTTTAAAGTCAACTTACCTTTTCATTATGTGATTGAAAGAGTTCTGCATCTAAGACAGTTTAAAAATAATTTTAAAGGGAAAGTTGTCCACAATTTACCTCTCAAACATGTCTGTGTGCTTCACATCTCTTTTCCTGAGGAAAGGCCCACAGAAACAACCTTTCTGAAAACTTGAAATTCTTTCCCGCCATCCTCAGTGCAAGTAGACTGCAGCTACCCTTCCATCCTTCCACAAGCATTTTCATGTTTCAAGTCATCCAAATATCAAATATGTTCTACCTAGCAAATAACAGAATTTGTTCATCTTTCTCCATGACTTCACCTTTGAAACTAACTCAAATGACACTGAGTCAAATGAGGGTTCATGGCCTAGGTCCAGAAGCTATACCAACAGCAGCAAACAAGCCAATGAAGAACTGAAACTCGTAAGGTTTGGCCACCAACGAATGCCAGTTTCCTATGTCTAAGATCTTGCCCCCAAAGAGACACTAGGGAGAAGATGCATGCATAATTTTTTAAAGCTATTTTTAAGGAAGAAATGTTTAGGACGTTGAGAGGTGGGGGAGAGGTGCCTTGCATCCTCGCTCAGCATCCACTTGCTAGAATCATACGCACTTGGGCACAGCAATCGGAAGGGCTTTGCTGGGAGTGCTAGTTCTGCTAGCTCTAGTGCTCATGTTGCTTTGAGCTCTGGAACCCTGAGAAAAACCAAGATCCCACTATAAAAGGTCTAAAGCCACAACATTAAATAAGATTCCAAAGTGCTACTGACTTTTTGAAATTCATTTATAGTCATTATATTAACAAAGCCCTTATAGGTGAGAGATGGGTTTTGGTAAATTTAGCCTCAACGCAGCCCTTCCCTGACTGTCAGTCAATTCGCTTGCTCATTCATCCTGCATTTATTGTACATCTACAAGAGGACAAGCCCTGTGTTAAGCAAAGAAAAAGAAGTGAGGTGTAGTCCTTGTTCTCAAGAAACATAGTCACATTCACTGTGCAAATGTACAACTGAATTAATGCCACTCATATTTGACAAGATGGAGCATCAGAGAAATAATCTTTTCTGTGATCTTAGTCAACATTCTGTATCTGGTGGACATGCTGTTCTTTACATTCAAACACCACCAATGCCTCTTTTACTTTTAACTTTATTTGGCAAAGCAGCACTGCATAAACTGTTCAGTAACTAAGACACAGCTTACACAGCATGTTCAATTCATACATTATCAGCAGCGAGTTAGAAACGAAATAAAACTAAGCTACAAGTCTAATATAATTTTAAAGAAAGAAATGAAGAACTATGTCAGTTATGTCCAATCTGAACTGCTGAGTGTTAAGGAACATCACTTTCCACCTTCTTAAATTTTAATATTTACAATTGCTTAGTTTTAAGGTACCAAAGCAGCTGATTGTATCTACAACATGCTATTCTATGACACCACATCAAAAGCTTTAAAAAGGGAGCTCACCTCTATTTTCTTAGTAGCATCTCACAGACATTAAAAAAAAAACAAAGAATTTTAACTTGTGAATGGTGGTGTTATCTGATACACAAACGCAGTCTGAAAAATTAATATTGGAACAGAATTAAGTGTCTAAGAAAAGAAAAACCACTCCTCCAAATCAATTAAAAAACTAACTTTCCCATTTTGCAGAACGCCTTCGCTTAATATTTTAAAGTAAAATGTATACTTTGCATCCTTTCTCTACCAATTTGGCTTTTGTGCCTCTTTGAAGAATTAGAAACACTACAAAACCACACATTTTCATGCTGAAAAAAAGTGTAACAAAGTCCAAAACAAGCTGTGATGCTGTGGTTTTCAAAAGCTTTAACTGAGATGAGCAATCCACTGTAATATTATATACTGGTCAAGCTGATGTTGCTTTTACAGTTCGTCCCTGGGGGGGAAAAAAGAGAGAAATGTGTAAGTAGGAGTTACATACTGCAAAATTTGACTTTCTAATAGTTCAGATACAACTATTAAATCAGTAAAAATACACTGATCCCCAAGCAATATATTTTTAAAATAAAAAGAGCAAACGGTCCCAAGTCAAAGCAAAAATGGAAATCAGCCATTTCAAACATCTCTCATGCAAATTAAGAATGAAGTATGAAACCTAAAGTACCTGATTTCTTTTCTTTTTAATTCTAAAGATAACCTTCTGCTTTCAAGACCAAAAATTCAGAGAAATTAGTTTTAGATCTAGGATCTTGCTAATACTATTGTAAAATGATGACGAGTATTTGAGTTCAAGTAAATTTTTACAGTTATAGTCACAGAATTGGACAAAAATTTAGCTTTTTGCTTAGAGTATGTTAGGAGTTGTTGAGTGGGTCAATATCAACCCAAACTTTTGTGGGGAAAAGCATCATCTGTAGGTATAATATACCTGTCAGCTGATTTCATAAGGCAGCTTTATCAGCTCCAAAAGAAACCATTCGCTCAGCCAGGTGTAGCACTGTACCAGCAACTGCCAGTGAGAGGAAGGAAGGAACAAAAATGCAATCTAAAATAAATGGTACGGTATGTAAATTATACCTCAATAAAGCTGTTAAAAGTGAAAAAATAAAGCTACCTGAAAAGTCTAAAAGCTTCATCTCTCAGGGTATTCTAAGTGACAAAAACAGTACTTCAGAAGTAAAGAAATTTGATGTTTGCAATACTCTCAAATGATTCAGGAAAAAAATATTACATATATGGATATACAGGGAGGGAAGGAGTGAGAAAGCACATGTGGAAAAGTGTTAGTAATTGGTTAACTCTGGAGGAAGAGATTCAGGAGTTCTTTGTACTATTTGTACAACTATTCTGTAATGGAAAGTTTTTTTTTAAAGGTATTAAATTTAAAAGGAAGGTAAATAAGGAGCTAAAATTTCCTAGATAAGTGGTGAACTAAGGAATTATCAGATAATATTCTTTTTATTGAATTTGGTAAATTGTGCAAGAAAATACTTTAAAAATTACTTCTCCCATAAGCTACCATTGTCATACAGTACTGGGTTACCTTTTAAACAATAAATCATTAGTTTTGGTTCCACTTAATATATTCTTCTAAATAACTTAAGTACTTTATTTCTCATAGAGTAGCTTTTAATATCATACAAGCATTAAATTATGAGTACTTGCAAAGTGCCCAATTCATAAATTAACTTGTGCTTTTTATATATGAAGATTCCACTATTGTTTTGTAAATAATTAACCACATTTTATTTACCTGTTACAAGGCATTAAGGATATTGTAAATAAATATCTTTATTGCCCAATAACATAGTACATTTCCAAATATCCTCTCCATTTAGAAAAAAAAATTTTTTTTTAAAGAAAAAGGATAAAAACTCTCAACAAACTGGGTAGAGAGGGAACGTACCTCAACATAATAAAGGCCACATATGACAAGCCCACAGCTAACATCATACTCAACGGTGAAAAGCTGAAAGCTTTTCCTGTAAGATCAGGAACAAGACAAGGATGCCCACTCTTGCCACTTTTATTCAACATAGTACTGGAAATCCTAGCCAGAGCAATTAGGCAAGAAAAAGAAATAAAAGGCATCAAAATCGGAAAAGAAGAAATAAAACTGTCTCTTTCTGCAGATGACATATTATATATAGAAAACCCTAAAACCTCCACCAAAAAAAGTTTGAATATACTAATTCAATAAATTGCAAGACACAAAATCAATATACAAAAATCAGTTGTATTTCTATACACTAATAATGAACTATCAGAAGAGAAATTAAGGAAACAATCCTATTTACAATTGCATCAAAAAGAATAAAATACCCAGGAATAAATTTAACCAATGAGGTAAAAGATCTATACACTGAAAACTATAAGACATTAATAAGACATTGAAGACACAAATAAATGGAAAGATATTCTGTGCTCACAGACTGGAAGAATTAATCAGGTTTAAATGTCCATACTGTCCAAAGCAATCTACTGATTCAATGCAATCCCCATCATAATTCCAACAGCATTTTTCACAGAAATAAAACAAACACTCCTAAACTTTATATAAACCCCCCCGCCCAAACCCCAAAGCAATAATATTAGAAAGAAGAACATGGTGAAGATATAACACATCCTGACTTTAAACTATATTACAAAGCTATAGTTATCACAACAGTAGGGTATTAGCATAAAAACACATAGATCAGTGGAACAGAATAGAAAGATCAGAAATAAACCCACACATATATGGTCAATTAATTAAAAAGCCAAAAATACACAGTGGAAAAACAACAGTATCTTCAATAAATGATGCTGGGAAAACTGGACAGCCACGTGAAAAATAATGAAACTGGACCCGTATCTCACACCATGCACACAAAAAATTAAACTCAAAATGGATTAAAGACTTGGATATAGGATCTGAAACCATAAAACTAAACTTATTGTGGTAATTACTTTAGAATATAAATATATATATCAAAGTATTATTTTGTACACTTAAAACTCATACCAGACTGTAGGTCAAATATATCTCAAAAAAAACAGAAAACATACTGCAAAAAAAATTTCTAATGATGAAACAATGTTGATATTTTATGAAATGAAAAGATTACAAAATAATGCTGCTGAGTGAGCTCAGGAATACAAAAGAGATGTACATAGAGTTATGGATAAAAGAGTAAGAAAAATTACCAAAATACTTATAGTGGTTATCTCTGGGTTCTGGGATTATGGGTGATTTTACTTTATTATTTGTACTTTATTTCTCTTTTTATGATGCACATGTATTACTTTGGTGTCAGTAACAGTATTGTTAAAAACAAATAGAAGGAAATGTATAGCACTGAAGTGGGAAAAAAAATTAAGTTTAAAGACCCGATTTTTAACATTTTTGCACCAAGGAAAACCAAAAATTTTTTGCCCATCCTTGTATAACTTTGTCACAACTAATACTCCCAAATCTGTATAACTTACAAGTTAATTTTTCCTAATGTTCAAAATTCTACATCATCATATCTTTCTTTGTCTGACTTACATATATAACTCATTTATAATAAAAAGTAGCATGTCCTAAATTTTTAGAGAGTCTCTTAAAATGGCTATATATGTGCTAAATATTTCATCAGGTTAATAATTATGTACATTTATTACTTTGTTTTAAAATATATAATTATATATAATTAGGTTAATAGCTCCAAGCTACTAACATTTAATATTATATATTCTAACATTTAATATTATCCTTTTTAAAAATATGTTTTATTGATTTTTTTCTTCTGAGAGAGTGAGAGTGAAATATCAATGTGAGAGTGGAACATAGATCAGCTGCCTTTTGCATGCCCCCTGCTGGGGATCAAACTTGCAACCCAGGCATGTGCCTTAACCAGGAATTGAACCGGCAACCTTCCAGGGTATGGGACCATGCCCAACCAACCGAGCCACATCAGCCAGGGCATATCTGGCAGTGGAATTTGACATGCCCACTAATCCCCTGCTTTTCTAAATAGTTTCTATCACATCTCCTTAGCAAATGCTAGATCTCATGCTCTCAGAGCACTGCAACTAACTCTGGATTCCTCCATTAGAGAAGGATGAAAGCTGGTGAGAAACAAGAAAAGGTTCATAAGTGCTAGGATGAGTTGCTAAATTAATCCCAAAGAAAATCTGAAGGAACAAACATCATCTAGCCAGGAAAAAAACTAAGGAGCTTTTTAGACGACAATTCGCAAATGCGGGTGGGCACTTAGAAAATTATAAGGAACCTTTTAACCAGATTCTATCCTTACTGCTAATGCCTTAATTCAGACTACCATCATTTTACCCATAACTTGCTATAGCCACCTTCTGTTACAGATTCTAGTCTTGTCCTTTTCCAATCTACTCTATCACAGCCAGTTAGTTATCTTTCTGAAATGTAATTCTGATCACTGCCTAGCTTCAGTACTTCAATTGCTCTCTACTGCCCTCAAGACAAAGTCTAAACCCTCAATACTGTTACTGACACCAAAGTAATGCATGTGCATCAAAGTCTATATAGCAACGATTTTCAACCGGTGTGCCACACAAATTTTTAAAACATGAAATACTTGACTATTTAGTCAGGGGCACTGACCTCCTTTCCCTTAGATTATCAAATTAAAAAATGACAACAGCCAACATACAATAGCCATCCAGTGTGAATGAATCAAAATGATACCTATTTTTTGGTGTGCTGCAGAATTTGAGTAATTAGTTTATGTGTGCCATGAGATGAAAAAGGTTAAAAATCACTGCTCTGTAGGTGTACCTCAGAGATATTGTAGGTTCAGGTTCAGACAACTGCAATAAAGCGAACATCACAATAAAGTGAGTTACACAAATTTTTTGTTTTCCCAGTGAATATAATAGTTATGTTTATATTGTAGTCTTTTAAGTGTACAATAATAGCATTATTTCTAAAAAACACTGTACATAATTAATTTAAAATATCTTGGTGCTCTCCCTCTAGGGAGCGTGCCAGTGCCTTTCCTTCCCCCTCTACTTCTCCTCTCTCCCCCCGCCCCCGGAAAAAAATATCTTATTGTTTATAAATGGTAACCATCACTGAGCCATCAGTGAGTCATGACCTTTTTGCAGGTAGCATCTTGCCTCAATGTTGATGGCTGCTGACTGGTCATGGTGGTGGGTTGTTGAAGGCTGGGGTTTCTGTGGCAACTTCTTAGAATAATAAGAACAATGAAGTCTGCCAGATCAACTATTCTTCCTTTCACGAACAATTTCTCTGTAGCATGTGATGCCATTTGATAGAATTTTACCCACAGAACTTCTTTCAAAACTGGAATCAATCCTCTTCCACCCTGTACTACTTCATCAAATAAGTTTATGTAATATTCTAAATCCTGTTGTTATTACATCAATCTTCCCAGCCTCTTCACCAGGAGGAGATTCCATCTCAAGAAACTATTTTCTTAGCTCATCCACAAGAAGTAACTCCTAACCCATTAAAGTTTTACCATGAGATTGCGTAATTTAGTCACATCTTCAGGCTCCACTTCTAGTACTAGTTCTCTTGCTATTTCCACCTCATCTGGAGCTACTTCCTCTATAGAAGCCTTGAACCCCTCAGAGTTATTCATGAGAGTTGGAATCAACTTCTTCCAAATTCCTGTTTATGTGGACATTCTGAGCTCTTCCCATGAATCATGAATGTTCTTAATGGCATCTAGAATGATAAATCCTTTTCAGGTTTTTAATTAACTTTGCCCAGATCCAACAGAGGAATCACTGTGTCAACTATAGCCTTACACAATGTATTTCTTAAATAATAAGACTTGAAAGTCAAAATTACTACTTAATCCAGGTGCTATAGAATGAATTTAAGTTAATAGGCATGAAAACTGTATTAATCTTGTTCATCAGAGCTCTTGAGTGACCAGAGGCATTGTCAATGAACAGTAATATTTTGAAAGGAATCTTTTTTTTTTTTCTGAGCAGCAGGTCAACAGTGGGCTTAAAATATTCAGTAAACCATGTTGTAAACAGGTGTGCTGTCATGCACATTTTGTATAATTCTTAAGGGCCCCAGGATTGTCTGAATAGTAAATGAGCATTGGCTTCAGCTTAGTCACTAGCTGCTTTAGCCCCTAATAAGAGTGGCAGCCTGTCCTTTGAAGCTAGGCATTGATTTCTCCTCTCCAGCTATGAAAGTCTTAGATAGTACCTTCTTTCAATCTAAGGATAGCTGTTTAGTCTACATTGAAAATCTACTGTGTGTGTGTGTGTGTGTGTGTGTGTGTGTGTGTGTGTGTGTGTGTGTGTTTAGAGAGAGTGGGAGGGAGGGAGAGAGGGAGGGAGGAAGAGAGGGAGAGAGAGAGAGGTATAAAGATCGATGTGAGAGAGACACATTGATTGGTTGCCTTCCACACACGCCCTGACCGGGGCTGGGGAATGAGCCTGCAACTGAGGTACGTGCCCTTGATGGGGAACTGAACCCAGGATTCTTGGGTCCCTGGGCTGCTGCTCTAACCACTGATCAAACCCGGCTAGGGGAAAAAATCTATTGTTCAATGTAGCCACCTTCATTAATTATCCCACTAGAGCAGGGGTGGGCAAACTTTTTGACTCGAGGGCCACAATGGGTTCTTAAACTGGACCGGAGGGCCGGAACAAAAGCATGGATGGAGTGTTTGTGTGAACTAATATAAATTCAAAGTAAACATCATTACATAAAAGGGTACGGTCTTTTTTTTTTTAGTTTTATTCATTTCAAACGGGCCGGATCCGGCCCGCGGGCCATAGTTTGCCCACGGCTGCACTAGAGCTTCTGGATAACTTGCTGCAGCTTCTATATACATCAGCACTTGCTCCACCTGGAGATTACCTTCTTTCCTTAAACACCGTAAACCAATTATCTACTAGCTTCAAACTTCTGCAGCTTCCTCACCTCTCTCAGCCTTCAGAGAATTGAAAAGGTTTAGAATCTTCCCAGGGATTAGGCTTTGGCTAAAGAGAATGTTGTGGCTGGTCTGTTCTTTTACATACAGACCACTACAACTTTCTCCCTATCAGCAACAGGCTGTTTCTTATCCCTCATGTTTTACAGGAGTAGCACTTTCAATTTCCTTCAAGGACTTTTCTTTTGCATTCACAACTTGGCACAAGAAACCTAGCTTTCGACCTGTCTCAGCTTTTGACATGCCTTCCTCATTAAACTTAATCATTTCTAACTTTTGATTTAAAGTGAGAGACATGCAACTCTTCCTTTCACTTGAACACTTAGAGCAGTGGTTCTCAACCTTGGCTGCACATTAGAATCACCTGGGAATCTTTTTAAAATTCTGATTTCTGGGCCTCATCCTCAGGAAATTCTGTTTCTTTGTTACTAAGGTTGTGGCCCCACCTCATAACAAAGAAAGAGAATTTCCAGAGGATGAGGCCCAGAAATCAGAATTTTAAAAAGATTCCCAGGTGATTCTAATGTGCAGCCAAGGTTGAGAACCACTGACTTAGAGGCCATTGTAGGATTATTAATTGGCTCAAGGAGAGGGAGAGAGAAGACAGCCGGTTGGTGGAGCAGTCAGAACACAAACAACAATTAACAATTAAGTTAACCATCTGATATGGGTGTGGCTCGTGCCAACCCAAAACAATTACAATAGCAACATCAAAAACCACAGATAAAAAAAATCTCAGATCATCACAAATATAGCAATAATAAAAAAAGTCTGAAATATTTTAAGAATTACTGAAATGTAACACAGACATACAAATGAGTAAATGCTGTTGGAAAAATGGCACCGACAGACTTGCTCAACCCAAAGTTGCCAACAAACCTTTAATTTGTAAAATAACAGTATCTGCAAAGCACAATAGAGCAAATCACAATAAAACAAGGTATGCCAGTAATGGCCTGTCTGTCTTGTCTTTTGATTTGTTGTAGTTTTTTTTTTTGGATCTCCCGTATGACTATGAATGGTCAGTTTCAAAGTCACAGCTGTATATTCCTGAACTAGTACAGTGCCTGGCATAGTGGGCACACACATACTTACTGAATAAATATAATAAGAAGGTCCTCAAACTGAAAAGTGTTTAGTAACAAAACAAATTTCTCTTGGTGTTAGTCTCTGTCTCTCCTCCTCCCTTCAGCTCTAAAAACCAATGGAAACATATCCTCAGGTGAGGATTAACAACAACAAAATTCCACCTCTGGCCTGCCAAGTGTGGTTCATAAATCCAGGAGGTCACTGTTCAATTCCCGGTCAGGGCACATGCCGGGGTTCCAGGCTTGATCCCCTGTGGGGGCATGCAAGAGGCAGTCAATCCATGATTTTCCCTCATCATTGATGTTTCTCTGTCTCCCTCTCTCCCTTCCTCTATGAAATCAGTAAAATAAAAAAAACCCACCTCTAATTAGAAAAACAAAATACCTTTTCCTTCATTAAATTATAGATAGCATGCTCAATACTAATATTTATTGTATATAAAACTTTAAACATAAATAAAAATCTGAACTCTTATTTAATATTGAATTTCAATGATATGTTTCCCCCTTTATACAATAACAATCAAACAAATATATAATGGTATAACTATACTAAAAGAAAAGTGAAGGAAGATTGTAATTTGTTGTTAAACTACATCTGATTATTACTGACAAGACTGATAGCTTTTTAGTTTGTTTTTAAGAAGTGGCTGTGCTCCAGGTTAGAATTCAAAGAAAACAACTTTATAACTACATTAGGTGAAGAATAAAATGCAATTCCTAGTAAGATATCCCAGAAATGGCCAATCAGAATTTAGTTAAAAGTAAAACTCAGTTTAAACAAACTGAGTTACATTCATTACCATTTTTGCAATTAAACATTCATTCAAAAACAAAATTGAGAAATCTATTATACTTAGATTTAACAATCCCATGTTACTTATTAAGAAAATAATGGTCTTAAAATAAATACCTCTGTCAAATAAAAATAGACTCTAAAACAAGGAAACTGTAAAGCCTTTCTTATTTTGGCATTTAATTCCAAGTGGTCTTAGCTAAGTCACTTTTACTTTCTGACCGAACTCCTCCCCATGGGAGGGAGTGGGAAGAAGAAATCTTGGCTTCAAACAAAATATTCCGATTATGCTGAGAGGTACAACAAAATGGGCGTCATAATGAGCCATGCTGTGCTGGAGACTATGCTGCATGCTGCTGGCCCTTTGGGGGGGTTTGTGAGACCTGGGCACTCGTTTTGAGTTGACAGAAACCCTTCCCCTTCCCTCCCCAGGAACTTAAAGTGGGTTAAAAACTGGCTGGCCTGTATTTAGAACGGCAATAAGCTACTTGTTATAGTGGCTCTGAAACAACAGCTGAATATGAAACAGGCACCGGCTGTCAGACACCTAGGAAACTGACTGGCAGAGAAGTCAAGCTGAGAGGATGAATGTCCTCTGGGATTCTGACACCTTGGAAAACTGGGACAAGAATATCTTTTCCCTTCTTTCTCTTTACAACAATGTTACAGTAGAGAGTGGAGGGGGCAGGAAATGATGGCCCCTTCTCTTCAAAGCGAAGCTTTTGCTTCCATGACCACACAGCATCTATACAAATGATTTGAAAATATAGAAACAGTGGCGGATGATGAAATCTCCTTAGCACTAAACTGCAGTTTAAAAAAACACCTTTGTGCCAACCAAGTCTCACCCTCCCTTCCCCAAAGATGTGAGTTTAACCAAAAAAAGGGCAGACCATGCAACTTTTCTACATTTTTAATGTAGTGAATTTCTGATGTTAAAATGGAGCAGCATAAAAGTAATGACCAAAAAAGCAGCTCTTGCAGGCTAATGTCTTAAAATCCACACCCTTTCACCTTGCATGTGTGGAAGAAGAAAGAGCAGAAGGTAAAATCACTTCCACCTGGACCACTGCTTTTCTTTATCTGTTAAAGGCACGTATATCACTCCCATCAGAGGTTTCATTTTGACACTGCCATCTTGCAGCTTGTCGTACTGCTCAAGCATCTGATTTCCACCCGCAGGACCGACCGGCAATATCAATCTTCCACCAGGCTTTAACTGGTCTATTAGCTAAAAGAAACAAAAAGAAAAAACACATACATATGAAGTTATAGATCTTTTTCATCTTTATGAACAGCCTTGTGTCCATGGGCAGAAAGTATAAATGTACTTTATTTGGTACACATGTACTTTGTTAAACTTATCACTCAATTCTCACTTACTCATCACCTCTCTCCTGAAAACGATGCCCAGCTTCCTAGATCCTCTGGCTTCCTAGTTTTGGTTTCTGCTACTCCCTCTCTCCTTCCTCACTTTTTTTTCTGATGTAATTAAAGCAACTCCTCCAGAAGTATTCAGTGAAATAGTGCATGGAATATTTAAGAGAGAGTGGTTGAGATGTGCAAGTCTAAAACTATCTTTAGTTTACATATTTGGCAATATGTGTGCGTACAGAAGTCAAGGTTAGAAATCATTTTCTGTTTAGAACTGTGATGGTCTGTTCCCTTGTCCTGTTGATTCTAATGCTGCTATTCTGCAGTCAGGTGCCTTTCTGATTACCAATCCCTAATAGATTTATCCTTTTTGTTTTTCTAAAAACTTTTAGAATCTTTTCTTTGTACTTAGTATTCTGAAATTTCATAGTGATATTATGGTTCTTTTTTCCTTTTAAAAAGTTAATTGTACTGGACACTCAGTTCTTTTCAAACTATAGAATCATGTCCTTCAGTTCCTGAAAACTTTCTTACTCAAGACTTAGGGGCTAATTGTTTCTTGTAAGAATTTCAAGCCCCTCTTTTCAGACCCAGGCCTCCTCTCTGATTTCCCAGGTACCGCTGCCTCCAATTTCTAAGCTGCTTCTGCAAACTACTTCTGCATTGACAGCCTCTGCTGCCTCTTTGGTTTCACTTCCTCCACCTTCCTGGGTCAATTATTGCTCCATTTCCTTTCTATTTTCACACATTTCAGAGTTCAGGACTGCAAGTATACTCCCCTAGATAGTTAAACTAGAATTTATGTTCCTGTTTTGTTTTTCTACTTGTTTTGGGGTGACATCAAAGAGGAGCATAGACATCTTTACTCTGTTATCTTAAAACTGGAAAGCCCCTTCGGCATATATAAAATATCCCTCTAATACTTACAAGTGCTACTGTGTTTAAAATCATATTGCACTAAAGCTAGAAATGTCCTTTGAGATCATCTCAGGGTCTTAGTAGAAAACATGAGTCCTGTACCCAAGCCCCTTCATTTAAACACATTTATTTCTATTTGAGATTTTAATTGTTTGTACCAGGCAGCTGATATTCTTTTTTAAGTTAAAAAAACAAGCTACTGCCTAGCTGGCTTGGCTCAGTGGATAGAATGTCCGCCTGCGGACTGAAGGGTCGCGGGTTCAATTCCAGTCGGGGGCACATGCCTGGGTTGTGGGCTCGATCCCCAGTGGGGGCATGAAGGAGGCAGCTGATCAATGGTTCTCTCTCATCACTGATGTTTCTCTCTCTCTCTCCCTCTCTCCCTCTCTGAAATCAATAAAAATGTGTTTGTTTTTTTTTTAAAAAAAACAAACAAGCTACTGATCATGTGTGTTCATATATGAAAATTCTTTGAGCTATTTATTTATGACAGTGGTTCTCAACCTTCTGGCCCTTTAAATACAGTTCCTCATGTTGTGATCCAACCATACAATTATTTTCGTTGCTACTTCATAACTGTAATGTTGCTACTGTTATGAATCATAATGTAAATATCTGATATGCAGGATGGTCTGAGGTGACCCCTGTGAAAGGGTCATTCGACCGCCAAAGGGGTCACGACCCACAGGTTGAGAACCGCTGATTTATGACATACTAGAGGCCCAGTGCATGAAATTTGTGCGGGGGTGGGGGGATGTGGGGGGAAGACCTCCTCAGCCCAGCCTGCACCCTTTCCAATCCCGGACCCCTTGGGGGACTAAACTGACAGTCGGACATCCCTCTCACAATTCTGGACCGCTGGCTCCTAATTGCTCACCTGTCTGTCTGCCTGGTCGCCCTAACTTCCCCGCCTTGCCGGCCTGATGGCCCCTCACTGCCTCTGCATGCCAGCCTGATCGCCCCTAACTGCCCCCTTCCTGCTGGCCTGGTGCCCCCAACTGCTCCCCCCTGCCAGCCTAATCGCCCCCAACTGCCCCCCCCTGCCAGTCTGGTCACCCCCAACTGCACTCCCCCTGCCGGCCTGATCACCCCCAACTCTCCCCCTCTGCCAGCCTGATCGTCCCATGCAGCCTGCTATTTAGTCATTTGGTCGTCCCTCACTAAGCCCCCTGCTGGCCTGGTCACCCCTCACTAACCCCCCTGCAAGCCAGGTTGCCCCATGCAGCCTGCTTGTTCAGTCGTTTCGTCGTCCCTCACTAACCCCCCTGCCGGCCTGCTCATAGGCAGCCATCTTGTGAGAGCATGAGGGTTAATTTGCATATTACCTCTTTATTCTATAGGTTTGGGTTTTTTTTGACTTGTATACTTTTCTACACCATGTTACTATTTCAATTAAAATGTGTTTAAAATCCACTGGTTTTGTCTTAAAAAAACAAACAAACCCAAAATACAGATGACAGAGCCAGAAAGAATAAATGATTTTCCCAAAGTCATTTAGCCAGTAAGTAGAAGTCAATGATTAGAACAAATTCTCCAACTTTCAGCTTCTCATAACTGATCTAAATATACAAAAAAAACCCCTTTCCCAGGTTGGAGAGTGTATGAGACCCGGCCGAAAAGACAATGTGACCTGTTATCTAGTCAAGAACTATGTAAAACTCCTATGTAATAGAAACCCAAGATTTCAGTGAACTTAACCTAGGATTACTAAGGGCTGATACAAGTTTATCAGAATCTTACAAAATGAAAAATCAATTTTGTACTTAAATATTTCCTTGATTATACTGTAATATACAATACTGCAATATCCTTCTCTCTCATTGTAGCAATGCAAATTCTCCCATTCTGAAGATCTGTTCAAGTTCCATTCCTGTATGAAGTCTCCTTGACCACTCATTGCAAATTCTTTTTGCTACCTTGAACTCCTACAGGATTTTATTTTTCATTCAATATATGTCATATGCTAATGATAATATCACATCACTAATCTCCCTGTTACATGTATGATACATCTCTTCTAGGGTATAAGCTTTGTGAGGGTAAAATATATGACAAATATCCCTGGTCTCTCCCAGGAACCTAATAGTCTTGCATATTCTGGTATTTAATAAATGCCAAGTGATTATCAGGTCATGAACTCCAAAGGTATTTTCCCAATTCCACTGGTACTCATTCTTTGCTGGATAAAATACTGCTTCAAAAGACAGACATGAGCTAGGGTTTAGTAACCTTGATGTCATTTATACAACTATTTGCATGTGGAAAAAGTATTACCTACTAACTGTAACTAAAATGCATGACATAAAAGTCTATGTTCTTAATGTCTAGAAGTCTCTTATCTATAAATCTTTGAGAGTTTTAGTTGAATAAAGCACACAAACACAGAAAGAAACAACTCACTGCCTGGGGCACAACGGGGGCTGCAGCGCCTACGTGAATAGCATCATAAGGGGCTTCTTCGGCATATCCCATTCTTCCATCCCCCACTGAAAGAAAAACATTACGCTTTTAATACCTGTTTGGATAGAACGACTTAGTGTGAAGATTTTACAGCAGGAAAGAATAGTTTTGTTTTTAAACAAACAACTCCTTTTGTTTGTTTTTTGTTTTTTTAAAGAAATGATGCTGGACAAATGAATATGCATATGGAAAAAATATATACTTGGACCCCTACACCTCATACATACACAAAAATCAATGTCAGGAAGATCAAATACCTAAGTATGAAAAGCTAAAATAACAAAGCTTTTGAAAAATAAGAAGAAGAACGTCTTCATGATTTCAGAGTAGCCTTAAGCAGGACACAGGAAGCACTGGAAAAAATTGTTAAGTCTAACTACATTAAAATTAAGATTTCTATTTATCAAAAAAGTACCAATATGAGAGTGAAAAGGCATGCCACATAGTGGGAGAAGAGATTTATAATATGCATAAATAGACAAAGAGCTAGTCTCTAGAAGTTCTACAACTCAAAGAAAAATATAAACAACTCAGTATCTGAACAGGCAGTTCACAAAAAAGGAAATTTAAATGCCCAAACATATGAAAAAGTGTTCAACCTCACTGGTTAATAGTAAAATACATAATTAAAATCACAGAGATACTCCTATACACTCACTAAGTAGGCACAAAGAAAAATCTAATAATGCCAAGTGTTGATAGAGATGTAGAACAATAGGAACCCTGATACATTGCTGGTGGGAATGTAAAGTAGTTCAATCACTTAAAAAAACAACAACAGTTTTGCAATATCTAAGGGAACCCTGTGAACATACAATAACACACCTACATACTGTATAATGTATATATGAATCTGGACTTAGGTATACATGTGGTCACAGCAGCATTGTGAATATCCCCAAGTTAGAAACAACCAAAATACACATCTACAGAATTAACAAATTTTGGTGATGTTCTTACAATGGAATGCTGCACAGTAATAAAAATGAACTGTATGCAGAAAGATGGGTGAATCTTACACACAAAATACTGAATGAAAGAAGTTAATCATCATAGAATGTATACTGCATGATTCCATTTGTCTAAAGTTCAAAATTAAAGGAAACATTTTTTTTTTTATGTACAATTAGGTAGCAAATGCATGGAAATAATAATATTGGTTTCCACTAGGGAGAAGGGAGGGAGTTATGATGAGGAAAAAAGAAACTTGAGGATATCCAAGGTACGAATAATGTTCCATTTCTTGATTAGTGTGGCAATTAAACAGATATTTATTAAGCTTCACATTTATGCTTTATGCATTTTTAATGTTTTTTTATTTTTCACAATACAAAATGTGCTCCTATGGAAATATGTCCATTGTATATTGCTGAATGGAAAAAAGTAAACTATAGGTCAATACATATAGTATGAGTTAAAGAAAACTGTGTGTGCTATTTACTCATACATATATTTATATGTCTAGAAAACTTAAAAGGGAAAAGGAATGGTTTCCTTTTTTATCTTACACATCTCTGCACTGTTTACATTTTTTTATAATGAATACTTGCTACTTTGCCATTACTTAAAAAGCAATGAAGAAAGAACTAACTCAACATGACACTTTCTGAAACAGTTAACAGTCATGTCACCAATGGTCAAGGAAGAACTAGCATAACATTTTTAAGTAACTGTTTTTCTTACTTAGTACTTTGAAGTGAATGTTTTAAAAATGCAGTAATTAGCTCTATTATTTAGCTGCATTGGGAACATCTGAAGATACAAATTCTGCAGAGAGGAAATTTTTTAAGTTTTCTGATACTCACCAACCAGCTGCACTCTCCCTGAAGACAAAAGTGTTGGATCGTCCTTTCTGACATTATTTATTGAGTCGTCTACTAACTCTTTAATGTGGTCAATTCCTACGACTTTTCCACTAGCTCCAACCTGGAAATGAGAATAATTCAATAGCTCACTGGTCTAAATTTGTCGTTCTAAATGTTATTAAAGTGCTTCCTAATGTAAAGTTATATTGTGCAATGAGAAATGAAGACAATTCGATTTATTATAAATTATTTAGCTATTACAACCTTCTCAACTCTAACTCACGAATTAATTATATTTCACTAATTAAAAAGCTAGAATAAATTTTAATTATAATACTAAAAAGAAATGCTATCATTCTTCAATTTATAATCTTTAAATCCAGCACCATGATGGAGGACTTCACTGCCAATATTAAATAGCTAATGCAATCATTTTTACTCGAAGTAAATCTAGAAGTGTGACTTTCAATATTAAAAGTACAGCTCTGGCTGGGTGGCTCAGTTGGTTGGAGCGTTGTCCCATGCACCGAAAAAGTTGTGGGTTCGATCTCCTGTCAGGGTGAGTATGGGAGGCAACTGATTGATGTTTCTCTCTCTCTAAAATCAATAAACATATCCTCCTGTGAGGATTAAAATATATACATATTAAAATATATATAAATGTTACATGACATTTTATAGAGATTTAAGTAATTTTAATAGGGATTTTTATACCTGATTCTACTGCCATTTTGTGGAAAGTATAAAATACATAAAAAATTATAAAAAGGCCCCAATATAAACATTAATTGTAAAAAAATTTTAACATAATAAAGACTGCTGTCGGACTACCTGGGTTCACATCTAAGTTTCATTACTTACAAGTGTATAACCTTGGCAAGTGATTCTATGAATCAGGTTCCTCAGCTTTGTAAAATGAGAAGTAAAAGCTATATACCTCATAAATGATGTGAGGATTGAATAAGAGAATACAAGAAAAGCATTTAGAACACTGACTAGCACGTGCTAAATGTGCAAAAATCATTAACTTAAATTACTTCATTGTTAAAAAGAAAACTAAAAAAATTTAATTATTTTTAAAAAATAAATTTTCCTCTGAAACCATAAATATGTCAAATATAGAAAATCTCTCACTAAATATTTCTAAGCTTTAAAAAAAATAGTCCCTTACATCCCACTGGTGATGCTTAACTTGTACAAAACAAGTTAAAAATACTGAACTATCTGAATCCTTATTATGTACAAGACACTGTTCTGGATGTTTAAGACATGCCAAGGAGAAAAATCAGACGAAACTCCCAGCTCCCTGGAACTTACATGCTAGTGGTCTGCTGATTATACATTTAGCAAGTTAAATGGATTCTTGTCCAAGATGGATCCATAAGTCCCAACTTAACTAAACCAGAAACTTCCAATCTGGCCTCCAGGGACAAGATTTTCCATAATTAACTTGATATGATTATCTGAGTGCAGATGAACCCTTCCTCAAGGTGTGTGAATGGACCTCCAGACTTACACTCTGGTAGTCATTTACCAGATAAGCCTCTGGTGAATAATGAAGTATAATAAACAAGGCATTTTTCTAAGAGTACTTTTCTTACTGTAAAGGAATCTCTACCCTCGTTCCTAATAAACCTGTAGGAGTGTTTATTTTCTGCCAGATGAAAACTTGAAAGAATGTAGTCTGGGAGCTACTGGTTACCGTAACATCTTTGACCACAAGAGAAGAGCCACTCTGATAATGAAGTCAACATGTGGAGAAAAGGAAAGCCAAACCAAGGACCACAGAGAAAATCACTGTCAATAACAATATCTGATCTGAATCTAGCCACACAAGAAACCAGATACACCTTAAAATGTTTCCATGATATAAACCAAATAAATTCCCCTTTGGCTCTGCCAGTTTAGATAGACTGTTCTGTCACTTGCAATAACAATAAAAAAAAAAAAATCCTAGTGATATATATTCCAACTGCTTTCTCGGTAGAATTTCTTTAAAAAAAAAAAAAAACACCTTCAGAAACTGGTAATGAAAAAAATATACAGTCAAATCATAAGTAGGACATGTAAAACTATACCTCTGTTGGGGCCAGAATGAAAAATAAAGGTCTTACCATACGTGCAAAACATGCAGAAAGGATTCCACTTCCAGATCCTACATCAAGAGCTTTAGCTCCTTCATGTAGTTGATCAAATAGAAGTTCTAGTGCATATGCATGCTGCCAAAAGAAAACAAAGCAATATTCACTTTTTTCAAGAATATAAAGTATATGCCCTAGTCCGTGGTCGGCAAACTGCGGCTCGCGAGCCACATGCGGCTCTTTGGCCCCTTGAGTGTGGCTCTTCCTAAGCCTTAGGAGTACCCTAATTAAGTTAATAACAATGTACCTACCTATACAGTTTAAGTTTAAAAAATTGGGCTCTCAAAAGAAATTTCAATTGTTGTACTGTTGATATTTGGCTCTGTTGACTAATGAGTTTGCCGACCACTGGCTTAGCTGGTTTGGCTCAGTGGATAGAGCGTCGGCCTGCGGACTAAAGGGTCCTGGGTTTGATTCTGGTCAAGGGCACATGCCCAAATTACGGGCTTGATCCCCAGTGCGGGGCATGCAGGAGGCAACTGATCGATGATTCTCTCATCATTGATGTTTCTATCTCTTTCTCCCTCTTCCTTCCTCTCTGAGATCAATAAAAATATATTTTAAAAAAAGAATATAAAGTATATATACCATGGCATATGAATAAAGTTGCCAACTTCATACCAATGTTACTACTACTGTCATCTATCGAGACAACAAAAACCTATAGTACTTACATCTACACAGGAATTACTTAAGAAAATTCTCACTGTTTGATTAAATTCTTATATTTTTTTAAAAATGTTTCAGTAACTTTTTATCTCCAATGTGTGAATTTTAAAATGTAATTACTGCAAAGTCAAAAGTTATAAAAGGACTTATAGTGAAATCTCTATCATAGCCCTGTTCCAACCTTCCCCATTCCCATTCCCATCCCCAACCAGTTTCACTCCCTAAAGACAACCAATATTACCAGTTAAGACAATATTAAGGAATATTTTTGGGTATGATGTGGTATTGTAGTTGTGCTTTTAAAGTTTTTTATATTTATACTAAAGTATCTAGGGGTGAAATATTATGTTTGAAATTTGCTTTAAAATGGTTCAGTAAAGGGAAATCATATTGATTCTTTTGCAAAGATTCTTGTCTAAAGAGTGAAAACAACCAGTACTATGAAAAAGAGTTCTGGATTAAACGCCATTAAGTACTGGATTCTACAGGTTCTGAATTTATTAGCCCCGTGACATTGGAAATTATTTTTAGCTCATGGTTCCTCAGTTTCCATATCATTAATATGGAGAGAAAAACAGTTGTTCCTATCCTGCCTTCTCCACAGAAGTATCATTGTGAATAAAAGTCATGATGCATTAAAAAAGTACTTTATAAATTCTAAAGGATTTACAAATGAAATGTATACTGTTTACATTAAGAAAAAGTCAACCATTACAGCACAATGATTTGTTGCTGTTACTCTTTAAGGTACTTCACAGTCATTTATAAAGGTAAAAGTAACAATTAATTGCCGAAACCGGTTTGGCTCAGTGGATAGAGCGTCGGCCTGCGGACTGAAGGGTCCCAGGTTCGATTCCGGTCAAGGGCATGTGCCTGGGTTGCGGGCATATCCCCAGTGGGATATGTGCAGGAGGCAGCTGATCGATGTTTCTCTCTCATCGATGTTTCTAACTCTCTATCTCTCTCCCTTCCTCTCTGTAAAAAATCAATAAAATATATGAAGAAAAAAAAAAGTAACAATTAATTGATCTTTTATTTCTATTTAGTGTTACTTGGTAAACTCCGAATATTGTATATAACTGTCAATCAGTGGCTTCACTCTGCTCTTTTGCTTGATTAGAGAATGAAATGACGTGGTTAGTCAAAATGACCAAAGTTCACTTACCATGTGTGGAGCACTGATTGTTGCTTGGAAACCTGCAAAAAAAGAGGAGAACTACTGATACATTCAGCTGTACAAGCATACCAAATACTCCATGTAATTCCTTTTCTAACATCCATAAGTTACTTTTCAGAATAATTTTCATTTTTATGATCACAAGAAAACAAAACTCCTATTTTGAACTTTGTCATGCAGCAGTTAAAATGAGGAAATCCAATCATGCCAACCGCTACTGTGCTCTTCTAGTACAACAGGCCCACTATTTTTAAAGATTTCTTCTCCTGGCTAAGAAAGGAAGAATTTCAGTAAGTTGAGTCGGCAAGTTTATAACTTGTTTTCTCTTCAGACTTATAAAAATAAAATAAGCTTCTATATATAATAGGTATGCAAAATCTTTGCAAAATTAAACTGCTTCATATTTCTGGCAACTTAAAAATAAACTAGAGAAAAATAAATAAATAAATAAACAAGCTAGAGCAACCAGCAAAGTGGCTTAAGAGACTAAGAAACTATTTCAATTTACTCTTATGCCCTCACCTAATGTCAATGCACACAATCTTTTCTTAGTTTTTAGCTTTCAATTTGTATCTTCCGGGACTGCTTTCTCAAAATGTATTTACCTGCTTCTGCCTCTGAAGCAATTTTCACTGAGCGGTGGTAGCAGGTGCCTTCGGGTTCAGAAGCCCCCAGGATCTTCTCTGCTGACTGTCATAGTGCTTCAAAAGAAGAAAGCATGGCAGCTGGGTGACAGAATCCTGAGGCACTTCTAAGCCTCAAAGGCGCCCACTGCCAAGGCTCAGCAGTTCAGCAAAAAACCTGCTTCAGGAGAAGGAATTAAATATGGAACTTTCTAAAATCAAGCACAAGTCAAAAAATTCAGGGCAAGTGAAGCAGAGAAGTCAATGATAACTTAAGTACACTTATCTTTAGTACTAATTTTTAAAATTGATGCTAATGGGAAAAACAACCTTAGTCAACATTAAGGCACCTAAAGACAACTCAGCACTCAGCTTAAATTGCATAAATTTTCATTAAAAGTATATTTTCAGAAAATTTGTTTTTAAAATTCTCTACATATCCTATCTAATAATAGAGAAACATGGTAATTAGCTGTAACTTTGCTACCCTGCCCATTGGCTAATCAGCGAGATATGCAAATTAACTGCCAGCCAAGATGGTGGCCAGCAGCCAGGCAGCTGAAACGAACATGAGGCTTGCTTGCTTCAGTGATGGAGGAAGCCAAGGTTCCCTGCCTGCCACTGCTGGGCTCTGAGCTCTGGATGCAACTATGTTGCAATTATAGAACCTAAACAAACTCCAGAAACCTGCTTTCAGCCAGCACAGCCTCAGAGCTTAGAGTGGCCAATGATGGCAACAGAGTTTCAATTATAGAATCTAAACAAACCCAGGTACCTGCTTTCAGCCGGCAACGGCCTCAGAGCTAAAGCCGGCTCTCAGTGCCAGTGACAGCCATAGAAGGTAAATAAATCCCAGAAGAAAAAAAAGAAGAAAAAAGGAGGGGCTGGGAGCTTCAGTAGCCCACCAGCCTGAAAACAGCCCTCAGCCCCTCACCCAGACTGGCCAGGCACCCCAGTGGGGACCCCCACCCTGAAGGGGGTGTGACCAGCTGCAAACAGCCATCAGCCCGTCATCCAGGCTGGCCAGGCACCCCAGTGGGGACCCTCACCCTGAAGGGGGTGAGACCAGCTGCAAACAGCCATCATCCCCTCATCCAGGCTGGCCAGGCACCCAAGTGGGACCCCCACCCATGCACCAGGCCTCTATCCTATATAGTAAAAGGGTAATATGAAAACTGACCCTAACAGCAGAAGGACTGGGAATGACTGGTCACTATGACACACACTGACCACCAGGGGGCAGACGCTCAATGCAGAAGCCGCCCTCTGGTGGTCAGGGCGCTCTCACATGGGAGGAGCTCTGCTCAGCCACAAGCCAGGCTGATGGCTGCCAGTACAGTGGTGGTGGTGGGAGCCTCTCTTGCCTCCTCAGCAGCACTAAGGATGTCTGACTGCAGCTTAGGCCTGCTCCCCGCTGGCAAGTGGACATCCCGCAAGGGCTCCCGGGCTGCCAGAGGGATGTCTGATTGCCAATCCCCTGGGGAGCAGGCCTAAGCCAGCAGGTGGTCATCCCCTGAGGGGTCCCAGACTGTGAGAGGGCACAGGCCAGGCTGAGGGACCCCCCTGCCCCCCCCCCAAGTGCACAAATTTTTGTGCACCGGGCCTCTAGTATTATATATTTGAGAAAATAGAAAAGGTGCTTCATAAGCATATATAATGCTTTATTATAAAGGTATAACATTCAAACCAGCAAGGCAATAATAAATACCTGTGTCCTAGTCTATTTTTACTTACAAAAATTATACAGTAAATGAGTAAAAACTGACATTTTCAGAAATTCAAAGCTTACCTATTGATTGTGGAGAATCCATATAAGGGTTACATTTTGCATAGTGGGCACGGTCCGTAGCCAGCATTACTTCAAATACTTTATCTGTCTTGATGATTCCATTTTCTGAAATGAATGAGGCAAATATTTAAAGCTGGGAATAAGATGATCAGATATGCCCAGCTGGTGTGGCTCAGTAGTTGAGCATGGACCTATGAACCAGGAGGTCACAGTTCAATTCCAGGTCAGGGTACATGCCCAGGTTGCACTGGGTGTGCAGGAGAAGGCTGATCAATGATTCTCTCTTATCATTGATGTTTCTATTGCTCTCTCCCTCTCCCTTCCTCTCTGAAATCAATAAAAATATATTTTAAAAAAAGATGATCAGAAGTATTTTAGAATAATTATTTTGGCTGCACTGTAGAGGCTGAATTGGAAGAGAACAAAATCGGAAGTTATTGCAATAGTCCATGTAATCAGAACCTGTTCTTCAATGATAACAGTAAGAATGAAGTCGAAGGACTTGAGACATACTTGGAAGGTAATAGGGTGGGCAAAGGTAGGTTTCCAATTGTTCATATGGAAAATAATACAATAACCAAGAAGTAATAATATAAGAATAAACTGTTTCCTGTATTCACAACTGTAAACCTTCTTTTACCCCACCCTGTATGTATGTGTGTATATATATATATATATATATATATATATATATATACATATATATATACACCTGACTGACTAGATTTGGAAAAGGGGGAGGGGGAAAGTGTTTTAGATGCTGTCATATATTGATTTGAGAAATCCAGGAGAAGGACCAGAGTTAAGGAGGAAAAGGATAACTAATTTATACAGTTAGGGGCTATGGACGACACAAATGGAGATATTCAACACTCAGTTGAACACATGAATCTGGAGCTCAGGAAGGAGATCTAGGAGAGGTATAGATTTCTAATTATGTAGACAGCAACTGAAGCAATGGAGTGAACTAAAGTGGCCAGAAGAGATCACACAGAGAAGAAAAACGAATGTAAATATTTGAGATGCAAAGAAAGTGGAAATTCCAGAGGATGAGGCCCAGAAATCAGGATTTTAAAAAGAGTCCCAGGTGATTCTAATGTGCAGCCAAGGTTGAGAACCACTGATGCAGTAAGTTAAATTTCAAGAACCCTCATGGTAGCATGCACATAGTTAACTTTTCAATAAAGCCCTTATTAACTCAATATGTTTATTGACTATCTAGTACACACCAGACATAGACATGCTTAGGATTATCTATACTAATAAAAGGGTAATATGCTAATTAGACTCGACGTCCTTCTGGACAAAGCCATGGTGGCAGGGGCCAAGGCAGAGGTGGTTAGGGGTGATCAGGCAGGCAGGCAAGTGGTTAGGAGCCAGCAGTCCCGGATTTCGAGAGAGTGCAGGCCCGGCTGAGGGACTGGAATTTCATGCACTGGGCCTCTAGTAAGAATAAATAACATAGCATAGTTCCTGTACTCACAGACCTAAAATCTGTAAGACTTGATTTTAATAATCCAGAAATAAATTTTTTTTTTAATGAATTGAGGTCCTCCCCATATTCATCCAATTCTTTTTTTTTTTTTAATATATTTTATTGATTTTTTACAGAGAAGAAGGGAGAGAGATAGAGAGTTAGAAACATCGAGAGAGAAACATCAATTAGCTGCCTCCTGCACATCTCCTACTGGGGATGTGCCCGCAACCCAGGTACATGCCCTTGACCGGAATCGAACTTGGGACCTTTCAGTCTGCAGGCTGACGCTCTATCCACTGAGCCAAACCGGTTTTGGTCAGAAATAAATTTTTTAACCAAAACAGGTTTTGCTGAAAACCACTACATTTAAAATTTTTAATGGGTGAATGATATGGTATGGAATTATACTTTAGAAAAGTTGTTTTAAAAAAAAATTAGTGGGACTAAAGGCCGCAACCAGGAGAAGCATTATTTCTGGGAGACAATCTGGTAAGCAGGGAAAGGATGGTGCCTCTTGAAGTGGTAATGAAATGAAAGAAGAAAAGTAAGGATCCCACAGAAACAAAAGAGCAAGATCCGCCAACTCCTTCCCTTTTCCCACTACTACTATCAATATCATCCATTAGTCATTAAAGAAACTGCAAGTCACCATACTGACAAAAGTTGCTCTTGAATTGTAAAAATAGGAAAAAGAAAAAACTCCATTCAAATCTATGGGAAACAAAAGGCAAACAAAAACATTTCTGCTGATTTAACAGAATCTAATATTTAAAACTATGTTCTAAGAAAACTTAGCAGAAAGTGAGTAAAAGTATTACCAGAAACAACACCAAGACATCCACCAATAAAACTATCAGACTTTAAAGGTAAGAAAAAATATCTTCAGAACTTTCAAAGCAAAAGATTCAATTACCTAATAGGGGTAAAAAAAAAAATTTAGGCAGTCAGGTTTCTTAAGGTTTCAACCACCAACATACAAAGAAAAACAAGAATGAAGCTGCATTTTCAAGAAATTTAAGGAAAGTGCAAGTTCACAATAAAAAGGAGTAAATGACTAATACATCCAACAACATGGATGAATCTCAAGAGCACTAATCTCAGTGCAAGAAGCCAGATAAGACTATACACTATACGATTCCAATTATATCAAATTCTATAAAAGTCAAAAATCTAGTGGCAGAAGGCCAACCTGTGGTTGCTAGGTATTGGGGGTGAAAAGAGATTATCTGCAAAGGGGCATGAGGAACTTGGTGAGTGAAAGAAATTTTCTTTACACATATCAGCAAATGTCTGTAAAGGTCCAAATAGTAAATATTTTAGGCTTTGCAGGCCAGATAGTATTCATTGCAACTACTCAGCTCTGCCAATGTACTGTAAGAACAGCACTGACAACACTAATGAAAGGACACAACACTAATGGTTGTGTTAAAATAATCTTTATTTCCAAAAGAGACAGCGGGCCAATTTGGCTTGTGGGTTATAGTTTGCTGACCCCTTGTCCTATAACCATTAGGGTGGTAGTTAAGACTATATTTGTTTGTCAAATTTTTAATATTGTAACCTTAAAATTTGGTGAATTTTCATATAAATTCTACCTCAATAAAGCTGATTTTTTAATAATGTAAGCAAAGGATTTCATACCCAGCCAAGCTGTCCTTCAAATATCAAGGTTATAGAAAGAAAGACAACATTCTGCATGTGCAAGAACTCACGGAATGCTGTACACACAAGCCTTTCCTAAGGAATATTCTAGAAGATGTTTGTCATCTAACCAACAAATAACCAGAGATACAGGAGCAAAGGACACATATGCAATTCTACAGTAAAAACTAAAATAAGGGGGGGAGACATGGGTAAGATAATAATATTTAAAAGTTACATGTTCTGATGAAGTAGAAAGAATGCAATGAAAAACAATGGGAGGCCCTGGCCAGTTTTTCTCAGTGGGAGTGTCGGCCCGCAGACCATAGAGTGGTGGATTCAATTCCCGGTTAAGAACACACACCTGGACTGCAGGTTCCCCAGGTCTAGTGGGGAGTGTGGGAGGCAACCAATTGATGTGTCTCTCTCCCATCAATGTTTTGTTCTCTCTAGAAATCAATGGAAAAAACATCCTCAGGTAAGGATTAAAACAACAACAACAACAACAACAGAAGGAGAAAAAAGGGCAAAAGTAGAATTAGATCACTGTCATATAGGTAATGGAAGGAATCAAAGGTTGCCATTTACTATTGACTGACCAGATGGTAAACAAGAGAAAAGTAGTTAAAGAGACATTATAAAAGGTATAAATACAAACCCTCCAAATAAAAGAGTAATTTTAAAAATTCACAAACACTGTAGAAACATTGTAAACAGACAAACTTATATCATCTCTTCATTTTAAAATATTATAAGTTTTGGATAAAGTAACTCAAATAGAAAATATTATTTCTACACAAATGAGCTTAGGCAAGCTACCTGAAAGGTTACTCAAATAAAACAGTGAGCCCTGGCTGGTTTGGCTCAGTGGATAGAGCATCCGTCTGTGGACCAAAGGGTCCCAAGTTCGATTCCAGTCAAGGGCACATGCCTGGGTTGCGGGCTCGGTCCAACGTGCAGGAGGCAGGCAATCAATGATTCCCTCTCATCATTGATGTTTCTATCTCTCCCTTCCTCTCTGAAATCAATAAAAATATATTTAAAAATACATACATACATACATACATACATACATACATAAAATAAAACAGTGAGCCTAGCTAGCTGGTTTGGCTGGGTGGATAGAGTGTCAGCCTGCAGACTGAAAGGTTCTAGGTTCGATTCCAGTCAAGGGTACATGCCTGGGTTGCAGGCTCGGTCCCTAGTAGGGGACTTCCAGGAGGCAGCCAATCAATGGTTTTCTCTTATCATTGACTAGAGGCTTGGTGCACAAAATTCATGCACGGGGAGGTGGAGAGGAGAGGGTCCCCTCAGCCCGGCCTGCAACAATGCCAGCATTGCTTGCCCCGGCCTCTGGGCGCCGCCATCTTTTGTCACAGAGTGGCAGTTAATTTGCATATTACTATTTTATTAGATAGGGTGTTTCTATCTATCTCTTCCTCTCCTTTCCTCTCTGAAATCAATATATATATATATATATATTTTTTTTTCTTTTTTCTTTTTAAAGAGTACTACACTGATTGAGTTATAAAACTAAATATATTTAAAACAAACAAACAAAAACAGTGAGCCCTAGCCAGTTTGGCTCAGTGAGTAGAGTGTCAGCCTGCAGGGTCCAGGTTTGATTCCTGTCAAGAGCACATGCCCAGGTTGCAGGCTTGACCCCCAATGGGGGGCATGCAGGAGAGAGCCAATCAATGGTTCTCTCTCATCATTGATGTTTATATCTCTCTCTCCCTCTCTGGAATCAATACAAATATGACACACACACAAAATAAAAGAAATTAAGTTGTTCAAACTAACAGAGCAAATAAGCGGTATGGCCATTCAAAATAAGATATTAGGTTCTTACTGACCACTTCACTGTTTTGCTACTGACATATTCAAATAGCTTAGTGACTTCTACTATTTTCATGTCCCAAAATAATTCTTGAGTGGCTCATTAGCCTTGAATGCAATTCAAATTCCAGAGAGGTGATTCATAGAC